CGGCATTAAGTTTGAGTTTTACATTAAGTTTATGTCACGTCGTCTTTTGTGAGTTTAATGGCCAGTTACAAAGCAGAAATTCGATTATTGTCTGAGTGATGTAGACCTGGAGTTTCCCCATTATCAGAGTACTCAAGTAAATGGGTCATTCTACAGAAACATCCACTTTTCTATCTATACATATGTGTCACTGGTGTTACCTATCCTCATTGGTGTTACAAATAAGAAAGGTAACACCAGAGACAGTAACACCAGTGGCATTTCTGATGAAAAATGCATTTTACAAAATGGCTGCTGCAGAGCATCAAACCACATGTCAGTCATGGAATATCCACTAAAATGTGTAATTTAATCCATTTGTATTCTATTTTTTCACAATTACCTAAGAATAAAGTAGGTCACACCAGTGACGTCAACTAAAAGCTTCATATGAAATCATGAAATGAGAAAATTACTGATAACTGAAAAGACACAGTAGACTAACTATGTGCTTCTTTCATAGATCCTCAGAAAATAAGTAAAATGAAGTCAAGTGATGTCATCAGTGTGATTTTTATTTCAAAATAAGAGATTTTTTGTTACGCGGTAACACCAGTGACATGACGTCTGGGGACAACAACTTTCATTATATATTTCATAATATTTTTTTGGCATTTGTTTTCTTTATGTAATTTAATTTATATATTCTACAGTCATGTATAGATTATTGTAGTTAAAATTGCAGAAAAACGTGTTTTTTTCTTCAAAATATGGTACTCAGCCTTCACACATGACTGTGGGGACAAGCACTTCTGTAGTGCTTGGGATGCTAGATAATTGATTTAAAAATCAATATTGCAAAATTAATGGCTCATGAAGGTGTAATTTTAAAATATAAATAAATTGTAACCCTAACATAAGTTAATTAGCTAGTTTGCCTGCAAGCTAATGTAAGCCATGTTACCTCACGTTAGGAACTGCAACGTTTTCTGTTTTGAAACACATTTTTTCTTGATCAATGAATTGTCAGTGGAACCGAACATACTGGAATTGCGTGGGAATATGGATAGCGATAACACTGCAGGTATAGGGACAAAACAAAACATAAATTTACAATCTTAAACGTCGTTGTCATGGCGATGTGTATGGCTGGCTGTCCAGTGCACGAGTTTAGAGAACCCTGGAGAATTTGATACTTTCTACATGGCAAACAAACCTACATCTCCTGTCTGTGTATGTGTGTGACCAGTGAGGATGGCGAGAATTAACTTCATCAAACTCTTTCCGTGTAGGCCCTTTACGTTATTGTATTGTTTGAGTACAGCAACAATGCTGTAATGTTATCTGGTTGTGTCCGAAAGAGAGAAGACCTTGACCTATTCAGAAAAGATTTATACTAGTACTATTACCCTATTAATTATTTTAAATAATCTATTTATCTTATTACTATCTCAATTAATTCCCTGGGTTAAAATACAGCATAGCATAATCCTTGTAATAACTAAGGTCTGAATACTTAATGTTTTTTTTTTTTTAAGTTTTTATCTTGTGTTTCAACCAAGTTGGTGGAATGGCCCATACATTCAAAGAATGCTACACAAACATTCATCTAGAAGCTCATAGAAATTCGTGATCAAAGGTTTAAAGGCTGTTAAAACAGGCTAAACGTCATACTGATGAGCTTCCAGAGCAAATACAAATATCTCTAATGCCTCTTCACACTACCAAGTCTGCATTACATCACTTACTGCCGACTAGAATGAGAAATACTACATCATATCTGATGTACTGATGATGGGTTCATAGTTGGCTGGTTATAAAGCTGCTTTAGCCATTGCGACTTTAAGTTAATGCCTTTGTTTTCATAGAGAGAGACTATGGGCTTACAGAGCAGGTGTAAGCCATCTGCAGATCAAAAGGCAATTGATACACTCCAGACAAAGAATGGCCTACAACATTCAACTTGTTGAAGTTCAGCTGCTTTAAAAAGGGCTAAATTACTTGCATCAAAGGTGAAGTGTTGGAAGGATAATGCCTCGTACATGCAGGTGACAGGTTAAGTGCAACAGTGGGTAAGAGGAGCAAACAGTACATGAACAGAAGAAAGTATTCTTAAAAGGTTCAGCTTTGATCAAGGCAAACACTGAGGCAATGCCACAATGTCTCGTGATGAAGAACATGTTTGTGTGGTGGTCCATGAGAAGATTTTGACATTCCGCTTGACTGATTGTCACTAGTAGATGGAGAGAAGCTTTTTGAACTGCTGCATACTCATTAAGCCTGAGGGATCTTCAGCATGAACCAGCAAAATAGAAAAGTTTTTAGACTCCTCAGTTGATGACTAGTTGAAGTTCAAGGCAAATCAACAACAGAAAATAAGAATTCTGTGTAAACACTGAGCAGTTCTTTTGTGATTATAATAAAAAGAAGATGGCAATCTTGTTTCTCTTCCTCTGTCTGCTTCTATCTGTGTCTTGCAGTTAAGACAATGTCATTGGTGTTCCAAAATGTAGAGTATTTTGTAAATACTTGCAAATATGTCTGCCTGAAGGTTTTCCATCATGGAAAAGTACATATAAAAGTAAAAATTTGCCCAGTATACACCATGTTTACACCAACTACATCAATGTCAGGGAATGCATGAGCTTTTACTATGTGTATGTCCAGCGACACCTTGTGGATGCAAGAGGTCATGACACTTTTACTGGGAATGAATGAAGCACATTCTAGAACTACTTGCGCCAATTTTTGGTTTAACAGTGTAATCGCTATGACATTATCAAACAACACACTTTTTACACAGAATAACTAATAAGTAAATTAAGAAGTAATTTACAGGAAGCAAACCATAAAGAATTCTTAGCTTCATCCCTAGTGCTACAGTATTAATATTACTTACAACTGTGAGTTTCTGCTATGAGTAAAGCACTACAAATACTGGAACTAAAAAATAGCAGAATATAAATGAAAATCTAAGACAAATATAACATTAAATCAACTAATATTATCAGTTACTGGAAATTTTAACATCTTAAAATCTGTTGGGCCCTGCTGATTAAAAAAAAAGACATATTATTACATTTATTTACTTTCGTAAAAAGGCACAGAGCTTTTAGCAACTCTAAATCGATAACGTCTCGTTTCACTGTGGTATACATATGACCAAACAGCCTCAGTCATCCATTAACATGGGGAAGAACATAAAACAAACATGGTTCTGAGGGTAACTTTGAAAAATGTATTCCATAACAGATTACAGATTACCTGTTTAAAATGTTATTATAAACTGATCCAAAGGATTATTATATTAAAATAACATAAACTTTGGTTACTTTTGGATTACTTTTCAAATAAGTAAATAAAGAGAAAAAAAGATCCAAGGCTTTTTCAACATGAATTTAACTGACCACAAAACAAGAAAAACTAAAAAAGGTGACAAGTTTAGATATCAAGCCACAGCTTCCCAGAAAAAGAACTGAGTGATTTTACACTGAGACTAAGACCCAATCCCATTTCAGCCCTTGCCCCTACCACTTAGCCCTTAGCCCTCTGTTTTGCGCATTCATGTCTAGGGTTAGGGTGTCCCAATTTTTGTTGAAATAGAGGGGTAGGGCGAAGTGTTAGGGCGACATGGCCCTCTAAACGATGGTTTTTCAGAGGTACACTCCAAACAGAGTGTTATGAGAAAAACAAGAAAAACCAGCAAGATGGCTGCGCGAGCGACCAAAGAAACCCACAAATGTAAGTATTTTCTCCGTTAAAACATTGCAATAACCATCGTATTATCTTTTTAATTTTTTATAGTCTTTATAGTTTAATGTCGTTTCAATGTGTTATGGTCGTTTTCTTCATAACAAGCATAAAAATCGCTAATAGCATGCTAATGTCTCGACAGCTAGCTAGCTAACTTTCCCGTTCCACCTTAAATAGTCCAGCAGTATTGACGCCTGATGCGCCAGAATGTATAATAAGTAATGAATGTATAATAAATAAATAATTGCCTTATACCCCCTCTTTGAAAGCATATGATGCACTAAATGTAACTAAAGCTCAGCAGCGAGGTTGCTGAACTTTTCCCTTCTCTGCTATCACTGAAGACAGGCTGGGTCGCCTACAGAGCACCGCTAGTAGCCTGTTAATGAAGCAGTGTTTGTCCCATTTCGTAGGGCAAAATTTCAACCACTACCCCTTGTAAGTTCCAAGGGGTTAGGGTGACACTCGAAAACAAGGGTTAGGGGTAAAAAAAAAGAAATGGGATTGGGCCTGAAGTCTCTGAGTCTACAATGCAGGGAAGCAACTAACTGTCGCAAAATAACCCAGTTCATTCAACATATAAATACACACACATCTTCTAAGCTGCTTCTCCTTCTGGGTCGCGGGGGGAGCTGGAGCCTATCCCAGCAGTCCTTGGGTGGAAGGCAGAATACACCCTGGACAGGTCACCAGTCCATCGCAAGGCAGAGAGACAGACATATACATTCACTCACGCACTCACACCTAGGGGCAATTTAGCGTGTCCAATCTGCCTGACTGCATGTCTTTGGACTGTGGGAGGAAACCGGAGAGCCCAGAAGAAACCCACGCAGACACGGGGAGAACAGGCAAACTCCACACAGAAAGGCCCTCCTTGCTGTGAGGTGACAGCGCTACCCACTGCGCCGTGCCGCCCCATATAAATACAGTTATAAACTATACTGCTCTCCTGGGACTTTTCTTTATTTGCCTTATTTATTAAAAATCTGTTGCTTCAACAGATCAATCTGGTAGACAACTTCTTTTGAGATCCCTTATCAACAGTAATCATAAACAGAGGCCACTGCCCATCCTTTGTGTTCTATTTGCTAAAAAGCTGTACTGGCTCCTCAGGTTTCATGTTGGGGTGTCGTGCTCAGACTTTGATAATGCTAATTTGCAGACGGTTACTAATCAGCTCTCAGTGTTTCAGAAGCTCTCAGAAATAAACAAGTTTAAAAAGGCATTCATTTCATACAAACACTAAGTGGGAGCTGTCTTACTTACAAACAATGATCAATTATACATAACATTTTGCAATCATCGTTCTGAAAGTACTTAATAAAGAAATATACCAAAGTGAAACTAACTTCACCACTGAGGAGACTTTGCCTTCTTTTAACGTTTCACACTCAATTTAGCATTAAAATCTGGGAGGTTAATGTTAACAAAAGTTTGATTTATAGCCAGCCAACTGTAAAATACGGATCAACAAACAAGAATACAGAGTTTTGTCGTGTAAAAACGTCATGTTTCTAAATTAAAAATAAAACTTCACCTAATACAAAACAGAAAACAATTAAACACCAAAAATAACAGAAAAATGTACAATCTTTTATTAAAGATTAAAGCTTCACAAACGAAAGTGATAACCTGAGTTGCTTGGGGCTGCAGCTAAAAAACCTGGAAAAATCAAACCTTTTTTATACCACCCTACAAAGGTTGCCCACCCCCATTACCTCATCTCACCTGACCTGTCTTATCGTCACAAGCAACTCTGACTTCACTGAGGTTTATTATAACTAACAATTTTGTACCTTTTACATACACTTTGTTTCTTCAGTTAGCCTTGGCCTTCTGTGACAAACACCTTTTTTCTTCTAAAAGTACCATGTCATTCTTCATTAGCCATTTCAGTTGATTTCACTTCATTAATACACCATTACATAAAAATAAATCACTTGCCTTAAACTACTGCATTTGATTATACCATTATCTATATGTTAAAACACACTTGGCTATGCTATCACATCAATTAACATATCCCTCTTTTGCATATTTTCTTTGATCACAGTACAAAATAATGCATAATAAACAGATTCTAACTTAACTGTGACTAAACAGGTTATTCCTAATTGTGACTAAGCAACGACGTGTTAAAATATATGTTTTGTACATGAAATTGGTAAACAATAAAGTTAAAGGATTCTTCAGCATTCTCTCCTGGCAGCAGCACCGCCCCCACCACAACCCGCCCCCTTGAAACTCCTCAGATCTACAGTACTTCTGTATCATCTACCATTTAAAGGTCCTGCGCAGTTGTTTTTTTTTTTAATCTGTAAAAAAATCAAATATTTCAGCAAACAAAAAAAAATATATATATATAATCAGTTACCTTCTATTTTTCCCCAAAACGACAGTAAATGGAATGTTTTGTATTTTCTCTGTCTTTTACCGTTCACTTTGTGAGAGTGTTAGAAGCTGACTTCAGTTTCATGTTAGCATTATATTTAAAAAGCAAAAGCTTTGATTAACTGGCTAACAAACAGAAATCTAACCGTAAACGGTAGCGCTGAGAATCTGCTAGCTAAGGCTGCATTTTTCAGGTTCTTGGTTAGAATCTCCCTCTTCAGGTCGAGGCTGCGTTAATGTGATTCGATTTCCAGCGTGCGACATACTCAGATGCCAAACAGCTTAGATTTCTGTTTGTTAGCCAGCTAATGGATGGCGTTGCAGCATGGCAAGGTGAAACAGAAAAATTCAAGCAAGAAGCTGGCGAATAGCTTCAATAGGAAACTTCAGTCTCATACTGTTAACTGTTAACTGCAAAATGGTCTAAATACGAGCTGAATAAACATTATATTGGCATGTTATCCCCCTTTTTGAGGGGGGTTCAAGTGCCCTACTGACAACGGGAGAAAGACTGCTAGCTAGGGATCTTGGTCAACGTTAACGTTAAGGTTAACTAATGTTAATGTTATGTTAGCAATCTAATTAGATAACAAAATTATGTTAGCCTGCACATTTAGCTACATTCTTATATTAGCTACATTACCAAATAAACTGTCAAATGAAAAGGATGACTGTTATTTAAAAATGAAGATTTACAGTCTTATCATCCACATTGCCCCCAGTAAGTGTTGGGAAAGTCGGCTGGAAAACCTGGAGCTGGATTGGGCCTAATTTACAAATGAGTCGCCAACAAAATGCTTTGTACAAATTATTGTACTGGGCGTCATTTCAACCCCGGAAAGAAATCAGAGCCATTTTGACTGTCTGACTGAACAGAATGTATAGAGTGATATTCTCCCTCTTGTATCCAAAAAGTGAGCATTTGTAAATGAGTGCCATCTCCTAGTAGCTATAATGTTACTCCAGTAGAGCGACACAGAGCGTGTGAAGAGTGGGAGGGTCAGTTAGTCTCACAGTTCATGAATATGCAATATAAGGCAGCTTATGATTCGCTATAGTTAATTAGTGTTATCTGACCTCTAAAATCACACCAAATTATGTGTAAATCCTGAAGAGTTGTTAAGGGACAATACACAAAAAACAGAGGTCATTTTATGCAGTCTAGTGAAAATAATCGCATACTTCCTGCTAAAATAATATTATGAGTAAGTAGGAAAAATACTGTGCTGGGCAGAGGCGAAATTCAACAAAAAGCGATGCATTACGTTACAGCGCAATCCTGAAAATAAATACACAAATAAAATGAGCACAATAAGCTTGTTGCATTCAGGAGTCACGAATGTCTCCAAAACTTCAATTAGACATCAGAAAAATTGATTCACTGTCCACAGAATCAAGCTACAGTGGCTGTCCCAGTACCCTGCCCTAAACCCCAAAAAAGCTGTAGATCAGATACCAGAACCAAGGACCAAGAAATTCTGAGATTCTATACAAAAAATATATAGACATATAAATATATATATATATATATATTAAAACTTTCTCTTAAAAATATATTTTATAGTCTCTTGTATTTTAACCTGTCCAACACAGAGTGTCTTGCTATGTCCTTTCTTTCCTCAGCCTTATACAAAAAGGTAGATGGTGATTAGAACTTCATCTTGAAGACCCTTGTTTCATCTCTGTGCTGTCTCTCCTGTACAGCAGCATATATGCAGTATTATTCCTGAAACATAAAGACAACCATAATAAACACATACAATTCAGTTACAACATTTCTATCAAATACATGGGAATTAATTACACAGGCTGTTGTAAAAGGACATTCAAAATAGGTTTGATAGTAATATAAAACTGCAAACATACTTCAACCTTCCTCCATATGTTTGCTGAACATCCTTCCAGCTGGCCTATAAGTGTGCAGCCAAAAAAAAAAAATTCTTTTTGAAACACATATGTCAAACTGCATATCTGTAGCAGTTACATACATAAATCACCATCAGATTCACAAGATTTAGCCTTTGGCTACAACTAGACTCACCTGATATACCTGGCTGTCATTGGTGAAATACCACGTCTGGTCCTGCATGGAATGGATGTATGCTGTGTAATGCCCAAAAAAGAACCCTGAATGCACTATAACTGCAAACAGGTTGTAATTTCCCTCAAGCTGAGGACAGAAAAATACCATCTTAACTGGGCTTTTAAACATAAAATCTATATTTATTTGTGTTCAGCATTTTGATTAGTGTGATAAATACAGCTGACACCTGTCAGTAAAACATACCATTTCCTGAGTTAGTTTTCCTTCTTTTAAAATGTCCGCCATGTTGAAGGATTCAGGGAAAGTGACTTCGCAGAACAGCTTCCTGGCAAAGCCAAAGCCACTTCTGAATCTTTTCAGATGGATACATAAGATGGATGGCAGTGAAACAATCTTAAACCCCTGTGTAAGAAATAAGGTTATGAGGATTTTGTTTGCCTCTAACTGCATTCAGTTATATTCTGTGCTGTTTATTTCGCTGAACCATTTTTGTCAGATCTTTTATTTTAAGATATTTCAAAACTCAAAGCACCTGAGCAGTTGGCTGCTTCTCCTCACACCTGTCACAGAAGAATTCTTCGCTGTGCTCTAACTTCTGGACCGCAAAGAAAGAACGAATACAGTCCTCCTAGGAAACAATACATCTGTCTGTAAGCTTGAATTTCATGTGCAGGGTGCAGCTTCACTCGAGTGAATAGTTAAAACAAACAACAACTTTATTTTAACTGTGAAAAATGTTACTTGCTGTAAATGTTGTAGCAAACATTTTCACTGACCTCCTTTTCAAGACTTGATAAAAGTACACAAAAAAAATGTAGTTTTGCTAACCTCAAGCTCACAATTATTAATGCCGGAAGTCTTATTTTTTTGTTTAAATCTTTTCTTTTTATTTTTATATACTGAAAAATCTTAATTTAGTCTCTGTCTTAGGTCTCACCACTCCTGGTCTCAGTCCTGTCTCAGACTCATACCATAAAGTCTAGGTGTCTAGGTCTTGGATTTAACTCGGATTCACCTCTAGTGGTCTTGATTACACTACCACAAGAGTGCACTTATAACTGTTGTGAAAACACAAACCTCACCCATCCCCGTGTTATGCAGAAGCTTTTCTGAACTGGTGTGTCTATAATCCTTATAAGTCTCTCTTTCTAACTCAGAACCAGCTCCAAGCTCCCAACCAGTATGGCTTTAAATAAGAGCACTCAACAGAAACTGCCCTGATAGCAGTGACTGAGAAGAGAGCTCTCTGTAGCCTTCGACATGGTAAACCACAAGATCCTCCTGTCTGTCCTTTCCAACCTTGGAATCGCTGGCTCTGCATGGAAGTGGTTTTAGTCCTGTCTGTAGGGGCACTTTTATCAGGTAATGTGGAGAGGGTCCACATCTGGTCCATGCAGACTCTCCACCAGTGTCTCACAAGGCTCGGTGCTGGGTCCTCTTCTTTTTTTTTTACTTTACACTCATTCTCATGGTGATGTAACAGCTTCTCATGGCTTCTCTTACCTATGCTGTACGGAAAACACCCAACCAACGCTTTCCTTCCCACCTTCCTATACTCACTTTTCCAGTTGAATCTCAGCATGTGTAATGATCTCACCATGATCTTGCCATATCATTAGATGGTTCCATCTGAAGATGTGAGAAGCCTTGTTGTGATTCTGGATGACCAGTTATCATTTTTTTAGTTTTACTGTGAACCTGACTTAGCCATGCAGGTTTCTCCTCTACAACATCCAGAGGATTCTACCCTTTCTCTCTTAAAAGGCCACCCAGGTGCCTGTTCAGTCTTGTCATCTAAAGGCTTGACTACTGCAACTCGCTCCTGGCTGGTCTTCCTATGTGGGCCATCAAGTGTTTGCAACTGATCCAGACTGCACCAGAACAGCTTGTCTTCAATCTCCCTAAATTCACTTATGTCACTCCACTGCTGCGCTCTCTTCACTGGCTTCCTGTAGCTGCTTGCATCAGATTTAAAACCCTGATGCTTGCCTACCAAGACAAAAATGGACCAGCCTCTCCCTACCTGATGGCAATGGTCAAAACTTGATCAGTACCTTTCAGTATGGTTCGGCTTGACATGTCATCCTTTGCATTGACGACAAACAACAAGACTCTTCTCTGTCCTGGCACCCAGGTGGAACGAACTTCCACTGACTGTCTGAACAGCTAAGTCACTCACTGTCTTCAAACGCAAACTGAAGACTCACCTCTTTTATAAAACACTTAAGAAAGAACTAATTTCTCATTGAGAATTTAGTTTGAGATTCAGCCTGGTTTTGATGCTGCTTAAGGCAGATCTGAATGTAACACTGTTATTTGAAGCATATCAGTCATATCAGTCATATAAGTGACATTTGTTGGTCTATTATATTGCTGTTTTACATTGAATCATATTATAAGTACTTTAATTCAAGCCTGTGATATTAATGATGGAGTTGAATGCTATTTTTTATCCTGTTAGCTAGCTGACCAGCATAGTTCTAGTGAAGAAAATAAGTTGTCAGCTCATCAGTTTAAATAGAAACAGGTTCTTTATCATTACTCTTGGTGGTCCATGTGAGTAGCATTAGGACCAAATATTAATCCATCAACAGCACAACCATTTTTCGTGGTGTGGCGCAGTAGTACAGAGTTCAGTTGTTTTGAGGACGTCAATGTGTATTTTAGACTTCAAACACGGCTCAGGCAATCAGATTTCAGGACTGATCATTTTTTAAAGCTGATTCTGACATGAATTCGTTATCATTATGTGATATATCCATCCCTGAGTCTTCAGGTAATCCTATCTAAGTCATTTTGGTGAACAAAGTCCATTTCCTTACCAAGGTGTTCTTGTCTTCAGAGACATGTAGTGGGAGGCTTAGAAAGAAGGTGGAGACACAGTGCACATATGCACATTTTAAACAATGTATCTGTCCTTCCACTGTGATCTTGTAAAGATTTTTGATCTCTGCAGCCTAAGAGCATAAAATATTAGAAAGAAAACAAATCCATCATATTCATCATGATAATCTACCAGTGATTTAACTGTGTGTTTTAGTAGCAAGTTCTTATCATTAGCAAACTTTACACTCACTGCTAAACAAATTACAGTTTCATACACATTAAAAAAAACAAAGGTGCTAAAATGGGTTCTTTAGAGTGATGCAACAGAAGAACTCATAAAGGTTTTAAAGGTCAAAGAACCTCCAAAGAAAAATAACAGTTCTATACCAATTAAAGTTTTTTCCTAAAACTATATGTCCAAGAACATTTTGCAACTCACCAGGCTTGGGTCAGGCACCTGCTGCTGAATGAGGTTGAGGATGGCATGGAACACTTCATCAGCATCATGCTGAGCGTACCCTGCACCACATAATGAACTCCATTCATTCAGAAATATTAAATGTGCCGTAACTTTTGCACAAGCCAAATTTTATCATTTTTTTCCTGTTAAATTCAGCAAATAAATGTGCAAAACAAATGTGCAGAAGTGTGTTCTCTGTAGAGGGCATCTCAACTTCTTTTTAATTAGAAAATCAACAAAACAGATGCCCAAACTTTTGACTGGTTTCTTGGACAGACGTTAAAACTATGTGACAGCTCAATGAAAAATCTAATTTAAATTTAATTTTCTCCTTGTTTAGCCAAGATATGTTCATAGTTTGCTTTATTAGTTTTGCTCTGGAGCTGTGAGGCCAATCTAGCTAAAATGTAATGGAAGCTTATTCCTGACCAATTAGCATCACACAGACTCCTTGCCTAAATCATAAAACACTTACCATACCATCTGAAATAGACTTGCTTATGTGGCTTACATTTTTCATGCTAATGTTTCTGACAATATATGACATACTGTTATCTATAAAAATGGCCAGAAGTAAATCACTAAAAACAGTTGTTGTCTGCTATTTTGAAACTTGAAATTTGTCTGCAATTTTATTAATTTGAATACATAACAGCATGACATAGTTAGGGTAGTTGTACACAAAAGTTTAGGGCACCACTGGCTAAATGACATATTTTGTTTTGTTTTTTTTATTTGAAAAGAAGTAAACACAACCTCTGCAGCAAACTATTTCAAACATTTTTTTCCCAAAGTTCATGCACAATTACTTTATTTTATTTTACTTTTTATATAACTTAAAAAATAGAAAAAAAATAGTTATTGTGGCATGTGCAAAGGGAAACAGAAGAATGGATTCCAATAAATATCAGCAAAATGTGACAGTCAGTCAGGAAACTGAAGCTGAGAATAGGCTGGCTTCTTCACCAAGACAACGATCCAAAATATATCTCAAAATCTACCATGAACTTCTTGAATAAACACAAACTGAAGCTTTTGGAATGGCCCTTACAGTTCCCTAATTGGAACATCAGTGAAAATATGTGGGTAGATTTTAAATATGCTCTGAAACAAATGAAAAAATGTTTAAAAAAAAAAGTTTGCTGCAGATGTTGTTTACTTCTTTTCGTTTAAAAAAAAAACAACACTGTGCAATTTGGCCAGGTTGCCCAAACCTTCGCATTACAACTATACACTGGGACAAACTGCATTAACAATTGTATTTGAGATTACTTAACTTAGTTTGAGGCAAAAGTGTGATGATTTAGGCAAGCAGTTTGCATGAAGCTAACCAAGCTAGCTTCTATTACTTGTTAGCTTTATTAGCCTCATAGCTGCAGTGCTAAACCAAGGAAGTGCAGCCATCAACTACATTTTGGGTGAGGGGGAAACTGTAAATTCAAACCAAGCCGAGAATTACCACCAAGTATTAGAACAGTGATCACCTACCTTCCTCCTAAAGATCTACTTTACTGCAGAGTTAAATTCCAACCTGCATCTATGCTGCTGCCCCTCCTTACCTAACACATATGCATATGATCTAGCCAGTGAAGGACTTCTGAAGATGTTAACTAGCTGGAGCAGGTGTGGCACACTGTAGATGGAACTAGACTCCACAGGAAGGTAAATCTCCAGAACTAGGTTTGGTGACCACTGCTCTAGAAACTTAATCGTAAGCTTCAGTCTTCAGAATGTTAGTTGATCAGTTACTATTCAGAAATATAGTACTGGTGCTGGATTTGGGCCAGTATGCGTACGGAGAATGTAGTTATGATGAAGACAGTCCAGGAAGGCATGATGAGGAGCAGGCTGCTGTGGGTCCCTCATGGCATGCAATGCTCTCTTTAGCTGCAGTGGAACGTTGTGGGGGTCTTCAGATTCATCAGATGGCTGCCATCTAAAACACAATACAAGCCACTCTGAAAACCAATGTCTGTTTTTACATATGCAGAGTTAGCTGTTTAGCATTCGATTTTAAGGTGGGGATGGGCAATATTTACTGTCGTGATAAATTACATGTCACAATAAGCTTTTCTGAGTATAGCATGAATATTATCAGTACTTAAAGAACACTTAACAACTGTATGTTTCATTACAAAGAGAACCTAATTAGATCTGTTTAATTGGATTTAGTGGAGCACAGCAAAATTTTAAGTAAAAAACATTGTATTCATGTTTTTTTTAGTATTTTTTTTCAGTATTTTTAATATGGCACTACTGGCTCTTTTTGTACTAATACTATATTTTTGCCATATTTTCTCACAAAGTAACAAATACACTTTGATTTTTCCCAAATCAATCAAGTATTGAAGCACAACCAGACCCAGATGAGCCTTTACCTACCTGTTGAGCAATTCAAACAACTCTGTAGTGGCTGAGAAGGACTGAAGCAAAGCATTTACACAGCATGACAGGCTGTAGTTTGAAAGGCCCCTCACACCTGCAAGTTTGAGTGGTTTTGTGGGTTAATGATGCACTTTTAAATCCTCATCTTTTAATGATGCCTAGTCTCTATGTCATCAAGATGCCTCATTAATGCAACTTGTTGCTGAAAACACTAAGCATTGAATCATTTCATTAAACTCTACTACAAACTGTTAAGATGAGCAAAAACATTAAAAATACATAACTCACCCGAGGCTCTGCTTAAATCCAAAGACACAGATCTTCTCAAAGACATTCCCATTCAGTAATGAACAAGTGCAGCAAAAAGTACTAGGAGTTTATTTGATGTTACCTGAATATAAAAGACAGTGAGTATAACATTTCATTGTGATATATTACATCGTAATATGTCACAATATGCTTTTCTAATCATATTGTGAATATCATCAGTACTAGAAACACTTCCCAATTCCCTGGTTCATTACAAAAGAGAGTGTAATTAGTCCTGTTTAATTGGATTTTAATTGTGGCACTACTTTGTCTATGTCAACTTATTAGATATCAGACAAAATAAATATTGTGACATACTGTGTATTATTAAAACTTCTTGAAGTATCGTGATATTACATTTTGACCATCTTGCCCACCTCTACATATGCCATAAGCAAACAAAAAGAGATGTTTTAACATACGTTATTCCAAGTTATATTAACACAATTATTTAAGTACAAACTGTGCAGCAATATAAAGAAGAAAAACCTTAAGAGGAAATTCCAACAATTTGTTGAAATTCACATTATTCAATCATTGAGATGTAAACGGGGCATTCAGATTGCTTTGATGTGAAATGGTGCACAGTAGATAAACTAACCAGCTTGAATTTACTTACAGTGGTGCTGATAGGACCCAGGGGTCACAATGTCTAACATAGCCATAATGTAACTCTTGGCATTTTATTTTTTTATCCAAAACCTATATGAACCTATACGTTTTCTGGGTTATTATATGTAATGTTACCAAGGTTTTGAGGGGGTTCAATTTTGGATTACAACACCTGGCATGCACCTTTCCATATTTAAAAAAGATGCTTTAGGTCAGGTCCCTAAAAACCACCGTCAAATAATGTCTTAGGCAGGTAATAGCTTCCAATGATGTAGCTGTCAGAAGCATTAAACACTTCAGACGTCTGGTTCCTATCACCAACGTTGTGAACAACTCTGACTTTGTAAGTTTCTCTGGAACTGAGAACTTCACATCAAACCACTCTGAATGACTTTGTTTACAACTTCAGGATGTAAACAAATGTGGAAAAATAGGTAGAATTTTTGTTTAAATTGCCAAAAAATAGTCATAAAACTCATGAAACAAGCACAGTGTTATTAACAAAAGCACATAGCCTATGCCTAATAGGTCTATGACATTAGTTACCTCTCTGTACTACAATATTTATAATAGGTCAGTTTTCAAACTACTTCCTACCTCTTCATTAAGACTGAAATTGTAAATAACATGGGGATTGGATCTGCTCTTAAGACGAAAAACAGTTTAAGGTAGTAAGGTGCCTCCACATTTAGCTTCAGCACTGTGGTAAGTGTGAAATGCTATTGCTAACACAACTGTTTAATTAGTCTAATGCGAAATGTCGATGCAGAAACAAAGACTGACCTTGCTGCGGAGTTTCAGCCGTCGTCAAACAAAAAAAGTAGTCCTAAAAGTAGTCATGAAGAGATTCGTTTTCATCCAAACCGAATGTTAACTCAGATAACAACACTGGTCACTGAGGAAACCGTTTTGCTTTCGCTTTCGTTTCGGCTGTTGGTTTCTGTTCAAGAGCGAGCAGCTTGTGACTGTCCAGTGACTTTATGCACGGACGACCTAGGAGTAATAGTACATATATGCATGTTTTATAATGGTGAACCAGTTGCTAGACTATGGGATACCGTACTACATGTAGTGTCACTTTTAAGTTGTAAGGTTATCATCTTACTCTAAGCCATTCTTAAATCATGGTTTGGGTCATCAGGCCTACTTAAAAAAATCTGGTACACAGAATTTAAATATTATGAAAGCGCTCAACAGCAAAGCTTAACAAAGCTAACTCTAGAATGATAAGTGACTGGACAGATATCTTTGAAAGACTTTTAGCCCTAACAATATAACAATAAGAAATACGATTATGCTATGAATTGGATCATAGTGATGTGGTGTAAGCTTGGATAAAATTGTTTGTGTTGATGTGTTTAAAAATAACCTTTAAATCATCCTTGCCATATATTTTAGACCAAGACGTATTTGAGTTTTTATGTACCATTTATTTTACTTTGTAAACTTGACACTTTTTGTTAACTATATTGTTTCTTTTTTATATTATTGTTATCGCCCACCCCGTGTATGGCAGGACCTGACAATTTACATCGTTCTATAATGTTTGCTGTCTGATGCATATAAAATTAACTACTGATCACAAAAAAGATTTCTTCTCTTTTTCCTTTAAGCCAAACAAAATCATAATACAGAAACCGAAGAATTAACACACACCTCAAAGGGTAAAACATCCCATTTGAATGGCAGCAAGAAAATCAATATTAATAGAAATCGTGTAGTACCTGAGGACACATAACACTTTTTGCTTTATTTGCATTTATTTAGTCATTTATACATATTCAATGGCTATTAATTTATCTGCTTATATCTCAAGTGGATTGGCCCAAGTATTTAAGCCTCTTTGGGCCCTGTGGTCCGAGGCCCCCCAAAGCTCCTGGCAGTCAGAGGCGCCTGGGTACTGGCCTAGTCAGTAATCCTTCTTTTGATTCCTGTCAGATGGTAAATGGCGAGACTAAAGGAGTTACTCTAAAATTGCTACATACAAGGTGCAATATACGTTAATATGTCTGTTAAAAGCTTCAGTTGAACCACAACATCTTTATAAGCTTCAAGTATCCATGTTTAATTTAAAATGAGCAAAAAATGTTAACAGCCATCTTCTTTAATTTAGCAGTAACATACTACCAGAATTACTGTAGCAGCAGGCTTGTTTTTATTTATTTATTTGTATTCATTTTTCATGTATTTATATATTTTTTTACTGTATTTATATTTATTTTTTTTTTACTGGATTTTGACATTTATAGCTCGACCTCAAGGTCAAGAACTAATAGTCATGGCTCACCACTAGCAGAAAACATGGATACTCATTTAGCTATGTGTGCATGAAATGTGTATTAGTCACGTTACAGTGTGTTTGACTTATCAGTTCTACTGTTCTTTAGTCATTCATCAGTGGTCAGTTTCTGACCAGAGGGACGCTGTTGGCTGGATATGTTTTTTTGGATGGCAGACTATTCTCAATTAGTTTAATATACATGATTCTTTAGGACCCAGTGATTAGGCATCAACTTAGAATTTTCAGACAAATCATGACCTTAAATTTTTTTTCTTAAGACTTTATTTGGTTTAGACCTGTTGGTTCACTTTGTCTAAAAGAAGCACGGTGATGGTGGTATTGTTTCAACTGGCAAATTGCATGAGTGCTGTTGTAAATTACTCAACACTATTCTTGTGCCACACCCTCATACCTTCTGCAGAACTAAAACTGAACCAACTTCTTGGTGAAAAACAAACACTCCCTTGTTGTGGAATGTTTCATACAAAAACAGTATTTAGTGACAATGTAATTTTATACACTGCTATATGAACAAAAGCCTATCCAATAAAATCTACATCTTTCTGATTGCTGCAAAACTTCAAAGTGTTTGAAATCCTTAAGAACACTGTAGTAAATGTCCATACATTTCACTTGTTTCTGCATGTAGACACTGCTGACTAGTGAAATTTGACTGTTGTTCAGTTCTCATTCCTTGCAAGCACACTCAAGCTTACATATCCCTGTATTCATCCTAAGCACTCTCAGACAGTATTTAAGTGCTGTTTTTATTTTAGGTGATGGTGTGCAAATCTTGCTTTCAGGATAAAGCCCTGTAGTAAGGTCCAAACATGGTATTCCACATCTGCTGGAAGAGTCCATAAAGCCGAAGGATCCATGGAAAAGCTGAGGGCAAAGCTGTGGATTAAGGATTTGTTTGAGAAAATAAATTATAATAGACAAATATATCTACTCATAAATGTTTTTGGAAGGTATATTCAAAATATGAGGAACCAACAAATATTTCGAAAAAAACAAATTTGTCAATGCAAACTGTATAGTATTTTATGCAATAGCTAAATAACTAAATACAGTCCTATCCATCGGATAAATGCAACTTTATCCACTCCATTTGTAAGGTGAGCACAGGTGAACTTGCCCTTTTGTGACAAAAAATAAGCAACACTGTGTCAATACCTTTAGAGCTTACTGTTCTAAAAAACACTATCAGCTGCTGATCATAGAGTCCACCTCTTTCTTTCTTGACAAGCTGATTAACAGGTGCACAATTTAATTACATGTTAGTCATCTCACCTGGGTCCATGCGTATGAGCAACAGATACAGCAGCAGCAGAAGCAGAAAAGCTCTGCGAAGACAGCGGGACCTGATGTTAGTGCTGACTGTGGAGAGGGCTCTGTACAACAATCTCACAACAGAGTTCAACCGCCGGACCAGCGAACCTAAGGGGTAAAACCAATAAAAGTTTCAGACATGTGCTCGCACACATACACTGCCCCAAAATGGCAGCTTTCACTGACACCCAAAAAACAGACACTAGTACACCTTACTAGAAAATTAACATGCAACAAGTTGCCAGTTTATTAAAGTAGACCTTGCACCTACACTCAATGGCTATATTATTAAGTACATCTACCACATACAACAAGTCAGAGAAAGAATAAATTATACATTTTGTAGTCTCAGAAAACACATTTCACAGAAAATTGCAATATAATTTTTTAATAATAAATTATTTTTAGTTTTAGATTTATAGTTTTACTGTTGGGCTAAAAATAGTCCACCCACCAAAGAAATCCAGCTGACTGTGCCCTGTGGGCAAAAACTGAAGGGTTAGAGAATGAACACAAGCTGTGCATAGAAAAGATGAGCTACAGTCTGTAACTGTACCCCAGCACAGTGACAAAGCTTAATGAAGTGGTCAGCAAGTGTACAGTGTTAAAAAGCTCTGCAGCACTTGATACACTCATACCAGTGCAACAGACTCTATCATGCCACCATCATGCTGGGGTTACCGCCGTGCTGAGAATGGTCCACCACCTAAATAATATCTGGTCAGGGGTGCTGCCTTTACACTGATGGACAGGAGTAAAGAGGGGCTGATTAACAGCACAGCAACAGATAAGCTACATTCAATAATTGTAATCCTACAAAGTGCAGCTACATGGTAGGAGCACTTGATAAAAATGACCAATAAGTTGACGTACAAAGTAAATGTACTTTGTAAACTTGCAACCTAGTACATATGAAATGAGCTAACTGATCAGTAATTCAAGAACTTAATTTGAAAAACCCTCTGCTGTTTAAGCCAATCAGTGAGACACACCTTGCAGAGTAGTAACGCTGCCTCTAGCTTCTGCCTGCACACAGACAGATTCAGAGACTGTATATGAATGGGGCTCATTTTTGGCATCATAATTCTCCACTACGGCGAGTGCAGTCTGTCTCTGGTCTTCAGTAAAGGCAACCTGTCCCACTTCATCCTCCAGCAGTTCTATGGCTTCAGTGGTTTGGCCAAGTGGCAGCAGAACATGAAGAATGTAAAGCTCTGCAACACTACTGTAACCTGACTGACTCATGTTACTGGAGCAGTGCAGCCATGTTCGGACCATTTCCTGCACTTCTGCCTGCTCGGCCACTTTGAAGTAGAGAAGAATACTGGAACAGTAGAAAGAAAAGCAGTTATCAGTTGTGGGCATTACTATGTTAATACAAATATTCTACTAGCACATGATCTAAGCTTTCTAATGTTTAGCTAAACAAGACGCTTAAAAAATCTTTACTAGATAACAGTTTTTCTTGTCAAATTCACAAGAGATAAGTAATGATAACAACAACCTAATCAGGTTTGTAATTAAATACCTGGGGAAAGGCTACAGCTTACAGGTGTTTTACTGTTAACATGTTTTAGTTAGCCAACTACTGATTGGCACAGTGTGGCTCTAGTGTAACCCCATAATAATTAAGAGCATTCTGCACTCCAGCACCATAACAGTCTACAATGCAATAATAAAATGCAATTTTTAAATAATGTCATGTATCATCTCCACTACTCAAGTTTTTCAAATGTTACCCTGATGTGTGAACACAGAACGCAAGATGGCAATTTGTATAATGTGCATAATGTGTCAGGTACTGCTTTTACCACATCTGCATGATTTTTGCAGGAATTTTCGCTGTTTCGCCATAGTGCTGCAAGACCCATGTAAGGACATCACGCCACTGGTTAAGCTCAGCCAAAGCTTGAATTCCAACTATACAAAGTGCTGCTTTCAACTCTCCATGTCTGAAACTTTGGACACAAACAGAACGGTATTATATATTATACAGGTATTAAAGGTCACAAGTACAATTTGCAATGTCTTTATATGCCTCAACCACTTCAGAATCATTTGGTGTTTCGTAATAGATGGCTTATAAAGCTAGATCACCTATTCAACTTCACATTCATATTCTTCATATCACTTTTTGCAGGAGAATCAAGTTTTAATTGGGCATTGCTGTCTGAATTCAATTGCTTTTCTGATTTTATATTATATTGAAGGGTATAGGCTAAGGCTTGTTATAACTTGACAGGATATTTCCATGCCTGATTGAGCACGCTGCTTGTATGTAAATCTTTATGATTTTCATTTTATTTTAACCTTCAGAGACCCTCTTGTTTAAAGCACTTTACTTATGTCTACATGACTGTCACTAAAACTACATATTCCAGCAGCCCTGCAGAGCTGTATCATAGCATCAGTTGCCAAAAAAGTTAATATCCTATTAATAGAATTGAGTCTCTCAGCACGCCAAAGTCAAACAACATGGCTGCTTCCTTCCAAACAAGTACTTATACATATTTTATTCTTTCCTAACATGTTTAGTAATAATTGACATAATTAGTAATAGGTAACATGCAAATAAAAGATGTACATGATGTACATATACACGAGTTCGGTGGATTTTTTATGAATGTTGCAAAAAATGCAACCACAGGCTTCCGTGGTCATCAGTGGCCATCACTTTTCAAACATTACTCGAACAGTGGTTACTCCAATCCTGGGGTCCCTCTGACCTGCAGACTGTCAACTAATCCTGTCCCCAACACACAACTGATCCAGCACATCAAGTAATTATCACACCCTTGATGAGGTGGATCACGTGTTTGGGGCAAGGAACACATTAAACTGCATCATTTTGTGCAGCTTTCCCTACTATGTTCACAGCATATAAATTCACACTACAATTATGTATTAAATTATCATGTGTTACAAACTCATTAATATCTAAAACTGTTCACACTATTTTAAAAATTATGATGGGAAAATTCCTCAACCCGTGACTGCATTTTTTTAGCAACATTTTCCCAAAATCCACCGCAAATCAAAATACATAAACATGTCATACTTCCTCAGGTCAGCGTTTAAATTAAAAAAATTGAAAACGCATCAGCAAAATGAATGCAATAACGTCTAAGGGATAATTTTGTTTTAATACATAAACATCGACACATTCAAGTATGCAAGAACTCTTCTGAGTAAGTTTGAGCAGTTCCGAAGGTCACACAAAATACGACAATGAAATAACAGATTATGTATAAATTCAGCAAGGGCAGCCTTTGAACCCTCGCTACATTTGGTACATTCGGATTCACCAAAACGTGTTTTGCGCTTAACTACGGCAAAGCAGAATACTCTGTAAAAGAGATTTCTTTTTAGTCTTCATGTCACAAGAAACTGTTTGCAGGTTAAAGGCTAATGGAGCACCCAAACAACAGCAATCATGTGATAACGAACAAGGAAAACGACTGTGGACGGTAAGGTTAGCTATGTCTCTGAAGCTTGCAGACACCTTCCTATTTCTTCAGAGACGGGGGGCTGCATTTAGTTCACCCACCAGGTTTCTTCTTGCTCATCCGAATTCATTAAACTTCCCAGTCCTTTCTCACACGTGTCAAACGCGGCTTGAAAATCTTTTCTGACCATTAAATGATCTACAGCAGCGTCCACGAGTCCAGCTCGAGGTGCATGTAAACATACTAGAGGACTGCTGAGGCGAACCGAGGCTGACGAACTGCTCGGCATAGCGACCAAACTGCTGCTTTTTCGTTAATGCCAACAAGCTTCATATAGGCCTTTTCGTTATTTTTAATCTGCAGTATGCGAACAAACCGCTGGGAACCGCACCAATGGCCGTTTAAATACGAAATATTTAAGGCTCTCTGAGGGCTGGCAAACCACAACTACTCACTACTACTGCGTTCCAATATGCCCACTTGTGTTCTAACTAGGGCGCTTGTTTGCTGGTGCGTAGAATTCCGGACGCCAGTAGAAGTCGCCAGCCAAGGAGTCTAGTTAGAAGGCAAGCACCTCCTCCAATATGCATATTGGAACGCGACCAGTTTCATGCGGATACAACCGCTACTTCCGTATAAATTACTAATGGGAAACCACTCTACAAGTTAAAAGACCTTTATTATTTTCACACAAGACAGTGACATTCCATGCAAAACTCGAAAATGGATTATGCACCTAGCTATGACTTTGAAGCTTGCAACAACTTAATTAACTAAATTTTCATTTAAGTGCAGGGCTGCATTCAGTCTGACCACCAAGTTTTTTTGCGATCATCTGTATTAACTTAAGTCTCCAGTGTCTGAAGTTTATAAAATCTGACATCTGACAATGTTTTCATCTGGAACAGATATCAAGAAAATACAATTAAAAATAGGAAGTTTCACCTCATTGTTCCAATTCAAATGCTTCGTACTGTATGAAGGACAGTAAACCTCTATATTGCATATTTTAGTGTTTTAAGTGCTGCAGGAGTAACACCTCTGTTGTTGCCAACTTTAAAACTAACAGTTGATAAGATTGTGGCTTTTATCACTGAAATATTTTAAACCACAAATTGATGTATTCCAGAATTACTAGTAACAAACACAATTTTTACCTTTAGCTCAACACCCATAAAATAAACACTCCTGATCACTTTTTTTATATGTAGAATAATTCATTGTTAAAAAAGTGCAAATGTGATCTTACACAGTGTGTCATAATAAACAAAAAAAAATTTATTTATTAATCACAGTTTATAATCACTGATTGCTGATCATTGCCTCACTAACCAAGAGCTGACCTCTTTCTGTAAGTAATTTCATTAGATTTTTCCTCCTTCTCCAAGTTACTTTCAAACCATAGTCTCTCTCTGGTGTGTCTTTCACTAACAGGCCCAAGCTTTGAGTTCTTGGAGGAGTCTTTGACTGACTTGGAGAAAAGAGGAGGTGGAGAACAGATGATGAACGGCAGTGTTCACTGTGTGCCATTTCCGGAGTCTCTATATGAGGAGGGGTAAAAACAGTACTTGTGTCAGGTGTGTAGTTCCCTTTTGATGAAGGTGTGTGAACAAAGCCTGCAGTCCTCCGTTTTCCAACTGTGAAAGCAAGAGGTGTTTTCACCATCTCTGAGGTCCTAAAATGAGTTACTGTAGCTTCTGATGTAGCTGTTATCTGTCTTCTTGTGGTGATTAAAGGAGTCTGTCTTGGACCCTCTGCAGGAACCTCATTCTGATTGTTTGGAGAAACAGTTTTGTCACTATAACTTTGAGAAAGCCTTATGCTTTGAGCTTTTTGAGTTTCCCCAGCACATGAAGCAGTCTTTTTGCAGAGAGCTTTGTGCTGCCTTTGTCTCTGTGGAATTGATGTGCTTGTCTCAAATGTCAAAGCAGAATATTTGCAAGCAGTATTTCTTCTAACTTGAGGCAAAGACAAAATAGACGCTGTGTTTATCGTGTTTGCGGGGAGCCGATTCTTCTTCCTCCCACGTCCTCCTCGCCTGACTGCTGTGTCTTCGAGTGAGGTAAACTGTGGAGACACCTGCAGTAGACAAAAGTATACATTCTTTAGAGTCACATTCAGAAATTTGTAAAGCTAATTTTGTTTACATAACCTTAATATTATGTTTTCTTTAGTATTCATATAACACCTTTTAGGTATTTAATCTTACAAATATAATCCTTCTACCCCAGTCGTCAGGCCAAACAGAGTTTTTTTTTCCCATTGTTTACAAAAACAACCTATATAAACAAACCCTATTTAAGTCACTGTTTGTTGGTTCATGCATAGTTACCCAAGAAGAAACCGCGATGCTTTGCCGTGGTCCTTCTGATACAAAAGTCATCGGATTAATGGCACTTCGTAACTGCTGTCCATAGCAATGCCTCGGTCCATTTCGGGGTTGCTCTACAAACAACAGCTGAGATTTTTGCGGATTCAGCAAAGTCCTTTTTCGTGTTTGGCGAGGCATGAGAAGTCATGATAAGCCTGTTTTAAAAAGTGGGACACACACCATCTATAAGAGATGTTGACTGACTGACTGGTTGATTGATTGCTGTTAAGAAGAGATCTATTCATAGCACATAACAAATAAAAAGGTACACAACGTTGTTAGCTAACGTTAGCATACTGAGAGAACTACTGGCTTTCACTTAAGTGCAAAACCCAAAACTACGGCTGACTCTGACACATTAAGTGTAGGTCCACATTCTGCTCATCCTACTGCGAATCATACACAGCATATTATATTTGAAAACATTACATATTTCGGATTTTTAAAATATTTTCTCTTGTACCTCAAAGTGAAATTGAGCCCAGTTCCCGGACATGTACTTCTCTGTACATTTCTCTCATTGGTTCCCCACACAGACACGACCAGAGTCGCTCAAACCCATTGGTCAGACCCCGATCACGTGATTGAAATCAGCAGCACTGCGCCAAAATTCAAACTGGTCTGTTGCTTGCAGTTTAGACGGGACAGTGGATTTCTACCCACAGATCTGATCCAGTTGATTTCTCAGAACGACAAGACAAGGACCTATGATTAACTGAGAATTGGCGTAATATGAAGGTTTGCTTATCTTAATATTGACTGCCTATTAGGAAGTGGTTCAAGTTCGGTTCAGTCGTGAAAACTGACTTTGTGAACATGTTACCCTACATATGCTAACGCTAGCTAACCTATCTAGCTGCTGAGCCAAATGGTGTCGCAAGTCCAGCTGGTACTAGCTAGCGCTCTTTGTGTTAGACTGTACGATATATCTGTTGTTGCTAACAAAAGTGGCAATTTGAACTCCGTGCAAGTGCAAAAACGATTCAACTTCTAATTGCACCCTTAGTTAGAATTAGGTTAGAGGATATGAGAACAGGTATGAATCAGAAGTTAGGCAGTTATCGTTAGATACTAGCGAGGTGCTGTCTGATTTTGCGTTAGCATGTCTTTTGAGGTTACTGCGCACGGGACGTTGTATAACGCATCCAGTAGCTTGCTACTTAACAGCAAAATGTTTAACGACGTGTGGAAATATTAGGTCAAGCATGCAAAGACTCTGTGATCTAGCTAAATAACACGATCGGGTTTTAACGGTATTATATTCCAAAAGAAAGTACGTCACACGATTAGCTTATATTCAAAAGTCGTTAGGCCAGCTAGCGCTAGTTTTCTCTAAGTTGCCAGCAATTATCGACGTTAAATGTCCAACAGTAGTGTGATAAATAACGTTGGATATTCCAGTAAGGTCAGCTGTTTTCTCCCTACGCTTAGCATCGCACTTCCCTGCAGATATTTGATAGCAGCTAACATCGATTGATCGAACGATTGCTCACAGTTTCAGTTGACACTCAGGTCGTCTAGCTCGATATGTCGCTATCTGGCTTGTACATATTATTTGTTATTTGATGTACACCTGCTTTTCATAACAAAATGTTAATGGTGGAATTGTTTTCCTTTTCTCCAGACTGCCAGTCGCCACGACAGCCCTGTCGCCGTGATATGAACAGAATGAGGGAGAGTCCCAGGAGGCCCATAATCCTCAAGAGGAGGAAACTGCCATTTCAGAGAAATGGACCTGATGGACATGTTGAGGCGTCTGATGGGCCACGGACCAAGGCTGCCCCGCCGCCAAGCGCTCAGTCCTTTCCTCACGGCATTTGTATCATGGACCATCCTTCTATGCCTGACACACAGGTAGTGGTCATTCCAAAGACTGCTGATCTTCAAAGTGTCATTGGTGCGCTGACTGCCAAAGGGAAGGAGCGTGGCCCGCAGGGGCCAAACAAGTTCATTTTACTGAGTGGGAGCAGTAGTCTGGAGGATGGAGCCAGCCCTTTCTTCAGTGCCTCATCAGAGGCTGGACAAACCTCATGCAAAAGCAGCCAGACTCTTGCTGTTGGACCTGAGGGACGAATAACCACAGATAATGTGGATTCTAGTAAACCTTGTATGTGTTGAATAAACAATTTAAATGATAAATTATGTAATTTTTACTTTATTGATTTGTATATGTTTGTACGTGTCATTCATTTTACTGTTTACATTTTCTGATGACAGTCACATTTTTTTTATTTTGTCAGTGAAAAAAGAAGCAGACTGCAGTCCTTTAGACAACAGCCTGACAAATATCCAGTGGCTGGGCAGAATGAGTACCGATGTCCTAGACCCTGAGTTGGAAAGGAAAGATTCCAGTAAGGAAAATCCACAGCTTCAACAGGTACATACTGAGAAGTGCAGAATGACAGAAACTGTTTATTAGATTTGTTACCGTTACTCTGTGGTGTTTCATAATAAAAGTCCTAGATTTAATCTTCTTAATGTTCTACTTGCAGTTGTAAACATAATTTTTCACTATTTCAAATCAATGTTTTGTCTTCTTCAGTCAAAGTATGCTGATGAAGAGGTGGGTGCAGTTAAAGACCCTCTATCAGAAAGACCACCTTACTCTTACATGGCCATGATCCAGTTTGCTATCAACAGCAAGAAAACTAGGAGAATGACTCTGAAGGAAATCTATAATTGGATAGAAGATCACTTCCCATACTTTCGGAATGTGGCTAAACCAGGTTGGAAGGTAATGTAGAATGCGGTGATTGTAGCTTTTTAGCATTTTATCCCTTTTTGTTATTAAAATGAAACAAAACGGGATGTAATTTTTATCTTTAAAGCAAACTTTTGTCATTCTAAGGCAAGAACAGACATTCATTACTATGAGTCATTATTGCATGTTTAGACTTGTAACAGCTTGTGATTCGTTAACTGAATTATTGTTACTGTAATTTATTTATTTTATAATAATAATAATAATTATTATTATTATTTGTTTTATGTTTATTTTAAGAATTCTATTCGGCATAACCTCTCTCTGCATGACATGTTTGTCCGGGAGACAACACCAGATGGCAAGATCTCCTACTGGACCATTCGACCAGAGGCAAATCGTTGTCTTACTTTAGACCAGGTTTATAAGGTAAGGATGATCGCTGACTGTATTTCCACGGTTGGGACCACTTAGTATTACATAAATTAGTTTGTAATCAAATCAAGCACGTACATTTTAGGGCTGCACCAATCATGAATTTTAAGGCAAAGTCAGATTCTTTAAGGCCAATCGATTGGTGTTTTTTTCTATGTATTTCTTCCTTAAAGATTTATTTTTGAAAGCAACACACAACAAAGGCAAGCATTTGTAGCTATATTTTATTCACAGCATATACTGTCTTACAACAGTTGTATCAAAAAAAAAAAATTATAGGTCAGCCAAAGTGAAAATAAATCATGTTCTGAACTTGGACTTGTTTTGATTAAGCACTCCTAATAATTTTGTGCTAAATGGGTGGTTCTTCAAGGGTTCTTGTAAAGACAATGGTTCTATATAGAACCATGAGCTTTCAAAGAACCATTTGCATGCTTATATATATATATATATTATATATATTATATATATATATATATAAATATAATTATTATATATATATATATATATATATATATATATATATATATATATATATATATAATTATATTATTTTTTTTTCCCTTCAATTTTCTTCAGATTCATGGAGAATGTGTTGTGTTTGTCTGGAAATGGTCCTATACAACATCAAAAAGTATTGTTACAAGTGTGACGTCATAACAATGGCAAAACCCTTTCTGGTGCTGTATAGAACTATTTTTAAAAGGATAGTATTATATTGTTTGTCTTACTTTCATTTTCTCACAAATGTGGCCGCACTTCTTGTTTCCCAACCCCCTCACAGCCTGTGGTTGACCCAGCGGCCTCCCCTTTCCCTCAGACTGTGCAGGTCTGTGACCCACAAGTAAGACTATTTTTAACTTTACCTTTTCCATGCCTTTCACTGCAGTCTGACAGGGAGGACACATCTCTCCATCACCTTCTTCGAGATGCACTGATTTAATTTCAGGAGTGTTTAAGGAGTTCAGGCTGAAGCATGTTCATCTCTACATTATTACCACTTCTGTTTCTGTGATTAGTTATCTCAGCGTCCCTCTCACTTAGCTCAGGCAGTGGCTGAGTTCTGTTATGGGTGGTAACTGTGCTACCGTGGCATAAAGAACCTGGAAAAGTAAACAAAACTTGTGTTTTCACAGCAACAGAAGCGAGCTGTGCCTGATCAGAAGAGACTTGCACCATGTGGTAGCACAGGTGGGTAAAGAACAATGACAGCAGACATTTCATTTTCAATACATCAGGAATTTTGGAAAGGCTCCATTCAGGATATAGTTGCCTACAGAGATAACGTATACATTTTAATTTGTTATAATAATCCTGAGATTACTTGTATGCTAATAGAATCAGTAGTGACAGCCCAATGGAAGTAAGTGAAGTGGTGGAGTCTTTTTATTTATTAATTTTTTTTAAATAAATAATATTAACTTTATAACGTTCTTTCTTATAACATTTACATTTGCTTTAGAGAGGAAGATGAAGCCTCTTCTGCCTCGTACAGACTCATACTTGGTACCTATCCAGCTTCCTCTGACTCCCTCGCTCTTCCTGCCCTCCTCAGCACCACTCCCTCCGTCCACACTGCAGCACGACTCCATCTCCTCCACTGCCAGCTCCAGTGGAGGAGGGAAGAGGGTCCGCATAGCCCCTAAGGTAAAGCCTTATCATACAGGGACTGAGTTTGTGGTCAAAACAAAATTTAACAGCATTAAAGTGCTAGTTTGGTGAACGATCAAATTTGACCCCAAAATGGAGTCGGCCCACCAACATATTGCCTTAGATGATCAGAGTCGCATTTTATGTCAATAATGTGCAGCCCTAATGGGCATTACAATGAACAACTGCAAGCAATGCAGTAAAAGAGGCTTATCACCTCTTTAGATCGTCTCCTATGTTGTGGAGGTTAAGCAGAAAATTGATCTTTCCTGCTGCACTGCAGGAAGTCTTAAAGTGAGACACTTGTGCATAGTTTCCTCCATCACAACTAAAGAATACCCAATAATGAATGTTAATACAAACATCTAATGTTATAAGTATAAGAAGCAAAATACAGGATTATATTTTAAATGATAATTTCTGTTTTAGTAACGTCACTATGTGCTAGCTATGCTAGTCTTGTTAACTGTGACCAGGGCAGCTAGTCACAGCATATGCACTATTTACACAGTAGACTACACTACATTGCTGACTTGAAATCAGTGTGGAAAATATTTAAGATGGCTTCTTGGCCCAGTTCAAAGGTAAAGATGTAAACAGACTACATTTGGGAGAAGGGTATAATTGTTCAGGTTTAACCAAGCAGTTTGGTCATGTGTTGAAAGGTTCTGTCGAGTGATTCCAGCTCAGTGAAGCCATGTGCTCCAACCCCAGATGAGATAAAGGAAGAGCCCATGTGTGTTCCTATCAGCTCTGAGCCCCTTAGGGCTCTGCCAACCAGTGGCAGACGAAGGGAGGCCAGCAGCTCTCGCCGTAAGCAGCGACTGGTCCTGCCATCCAATGAGGAGCCTGTCCTGCTTTTCTCTGACAGCACTTTCTTTGACTCTGGTGTGGTATCAGACAACTCCGCCTGCCAGGATACACGTGAGGCTGAACAAGAGCCCCAAGAGCTCCACCCTGAACCACAGCCTGAAAGCCCCTCCAGAGGTTATACTTTCAAAACTCCCATCAAAAGCAGCCACCCAGCTTCCTCTACACCCAGCAAGCCACCCACAGCTCTAGAATCCTGGAGGATCACGCCGCTGGGTAAAAGCAGCCAAGGGGTGCTAGACTTCAGCCCCATTCGTACGCCCAGTGGCCCACTGCACACTCCACAGCGGCATGAGCACATGACGTTCAGTTTGAACAGCACGCCCTTCAAGGAGCTGCCGCTTTTCAACTCCCCCCGTGAGCTCCTCACCTGCAGTCGGCCCTCACCACTCCATAACACGCCCAGCTGCTCCCGCCGGCTGCAAGTTGGGGCCGCCAACCGTTCTCTTACCGAGGGTCTGGTGTTGGACACCATGAACGATAGTCTGAGTAAGATCCTTGTGGACATCAGCTTCTCTGCCCTGGAGGATGACGACTTGGGCATGGCCAATATCAGCTGGTCTCAGCTCATTCCTGAGCTGAAATAATCTTGCTGTGGCTGCCATATCTGAATTTTTTTTTTTTTATATATTTTATTTTATTTTTTTTATTTTTATAAACCTAAGCTGCTCACACTCTGTCTTCCACTCCCTTTGTGTCTTCCACTTTTCAATGTGACTTTTACAAATGCAGATATTTTTCCTGCCTCACTTTTTCTTTGTACCTGCTTCCACACTCTTAAAAATATTGGTGTCATAAAGGGTTCTTCGGAGTGATGCTATAGAAGAGCCACTTTTGGTTCCTTTAAGGACCTTTCAATTCAGTGGTTCTTAAAAAAACTCTAAGGATTCTTTAGGACACATGTTCTCATCTTTTTTCCACATCAAGGTCTACCTATTTATCACTGAAAGCATGAAGTTAAAAAAAAAAACCCTTACAGTCCATTTTTGGTGAATTTTTTAACACAGTAGTGTTGGTGCCACGTGTGATGTGCATTACTAAATATAAAATATCAACAGATTAGGCTGACTGAAGCTGGTATTATACCTGAAATCACACAGAACTGTGGAAATTTAAGCAAATTGTTTTTTTTTTAATGAGTGGATGATTGATGGATTGAACTTCTTGCTTTTAGAGGCAAGGGACAAAAAAGTAGATGAAGCTGCTTTATGCACTCTTCTTGCATGGCTTGTATTAATACTGTTTACTGTTTGAAAACATTTTATAATTCTTTGTTATTATTAAGGCAACTATCTTTTTTTTTCACTGATTTTATATGCCATAAAGTGGCATCACCAGCCCACTAAGCACCACCCTCCCCCAAATATCTTCTGTAGTATCAAGTTAAAGAATGCTTTTTTTGGCACTGTTATTTTTAAGAGTCTTTGACTTCACCTCTTAACGTTTCACTCTAGTTCTAAAAGGGGAAGGGGAGTTGTGAGCAAGCAAAAATGTCGAAGGAATGTACTTAAATTTGCACAATTTGTAATATATGTATTTAGCAGTTTATAAAGAAAGGAGTAAGTGGGGACACAGATTTAACATAATCCAGCGAGACACTACTACAAAGTGAAATACCTGAACTGGAGCCGATACAGTGTAGCTGTAGTTAAAGGACACCATGAAAACAGGGAAAAATAAAGTCATCTGTAAACAAATCCTCACATGCATCAGCTGAGAATTTAGTTTCGTTTTTTTTTTCTTTTTTTGGCTTTTCAAGTACTTGGCTGAGCGATCTTGTCCTGCTAACTGGTTAATCGTATGCCTGCACAGGCATATGAATTTATACAGTTCTGAGGCTGGGCAACACAGATTATGTGTTAACAAATGATCCGTTTCATGACGATGTGAAAATTGCCTCTGCTACCACTGTTGTTATGAAAGTAAGTTGTTTCTATCCATTTTAGATATACAGTCATATGCAAAGGTTTGGGTGCCCCTGGTGAAATTACATGATTTGTTGACTTTATAAGTGGAAATCTTCTACAGAGAACACACTTCTTCACATTTAATGCACAAATACTGTTTGATTGTTCAATTTACATATTGGCAAAAATAAAGACAATAAAATGTGGCCTTAGCAAGTTATGGCACAGTTTATATTTTATTTTTTTATTTTATTCCTAAATTATTCCTAAACTCAACAAATGAATGGGAATTGTGCACAAATTTGCAGAAATATGTCATATTTAAGTTTGTTCTCTGTAGAGGGCCTTGTTTTCACCTAAGACAATCAACAAAAGATATAATTTGACTAAGTGTTCTAAATTTTGTACACTGTGGATTCTTCTTATTTTTTCAATTTTAATATACAACAGTACACAAATTTGCCCTGGATAAAAGGCAGATGTGTAAATTTCACATCAGCAGTATATAGTTTAAACAACTGGATAATCAGAACCCTCCCACACACACATTCACGCCTAAAGATTAAAGGTTAGAAAAATGTTACCTTTTGAACCATTTGTTTTTAACACATTTAATATAATGCACAGTTTCTGATTCTGGAAGTTACCAGTGTGAGGGAATAGTTGACTACACCAGCTCATCTTAGTTATAGACTATGGAAAAACTAGTGTCTGTATCATGGTATGCATGGTCTTCTACAGCATTTATTAAATTTTTTTCTTAACTGGTTCATTGTGTCACCCAGCCCTGGTCTCCTCAATACATTTTCATTTAAAATGTCCTTGATTTGACTTCTACCTTTTTGGATTTCCATGAATAGGAAATGCAATAAAAACAAGTATTCAGCAAAAATGAAAAAAAAAAAAGTTCTTCTTACATATCTTGAACATGCTCTGAGATGGGAATTTGTTCAGAGCTATATTAAATGTCTAAAAGTTTATAAATACATGCTCATCCAGCATATCTTCTGAAATGAAGGGTATTAGAATTTGTCTTACATTTGCTGCCGTAACAGCCTCTACTCTTTTATAAAGGCTTCACCCTAGATGTTGGAACATTGTTGTGTGGATTTGATTGCACTCAGCCATAAGAGTATAAGTTAGTGAGGTCGACATCTTATCCTGCTGATGTTGGTTGATAAGTTTTGGATCATTGAATCCCAATAGTATTGGATGGAGCTCCGTCACTCTAGAAAATGCAGTTCCACTGCTCTACAAGCCCAGTGCTAAGGGGCTTTATGCCTCTCTAGCCAACACTTGGCATTGGTCGTGGTGACTTTAAGCTTGGCTGGCTGCTTGCAACTGAATGCCTGTGTCAGCAATGAGTGCACTATATAGTAGGTGAATTCACTAATTAGTAGGGTTTTCTACAAACTTTTGGAAATACAGTGTAGTGATCTCAACATCAAAAGCTGTCACCATATCCTGTTTTTACAGTTTCTGACAATTCATAAACATGCAATAGGTTTATTCAGCTAACTTATTTATGTTGCCAGTCACAGATTGCCTTTTAAGCCATATGCAATAAGCTAATAATTGTAGGACATTTATTCATATTCTACCATTGGCAGCCTTTCAAATAAAGTGCTTTGATGCATATAATTTTTTATTGCCTTTTTTATTGTAGCAGTCCATCAGCACTTGACCTTTTTTGCAGAGTCGTGTATTTTAAAGTCTGCTTAAACAGGACATTTAAAAAGCCGAGTTTCATTAAAGCCCCTCTATCCTGAATATACAGTATTTAAATCTTCACATTCACTTGGGGCCTGTACCTTTCTACATTTCTTTTTGTTCATATAAAAGGCTCATAATAATGGGCCATCAGCCAGTTTGGCTGTAAGGGAATCAGAATCGGCCATAAAAATTCATATGTGCATCTTTACTACTATATTATATTGTGTAGTTATATAATTGTTTAGTGTAATTATGTTTCCTTGGTATCCATATATTTTTTGTTATTTCTTGAACAACTATTACTTTTACCCCACCCTTTTAAAGATGTCATGACAATTATCAATGGATATTAGTATCAGGTCAATATCAGCAGAAAAGGCTGGATTGGTTATCAGAGGAAAAAAAAACAATACAATTTAGTCCTGTAACAGTAGTTCTCAAACTGGTCCTCAGGGACCCCCAAATGGTCCACATTTTTGTTTGTTCCCAATTCCCAACACAGCAATAAAGAAAAAACATGAACTGCATTATATGATGTGATGATGTTAGCTGAGTGTTTCTTCCTCTGTGGTAGTAGAGTAATTGAATAGTTTGAGTAGACTGAGCCTACTAGATGCTCATCTTACTAGTTTTTAAAGAAAAAACATCAGATCAATATCTGACAACAAAGGTTTCAATAATGATGTTTAAAAAAGTGATATCTCTAATAGTTCAGTGTAAATCTAGTCTGTAACAGTCATGCCACTAGTCAAGAAAAATGTATCTGAAAAGTTTCAGAGTGGACTATTACTGAATTTGAAAACATCAGTTCTTAAAGTACTCGACACTGTAAGTAGTAATATGAGTACATATATTTAACATGGAGGATTTCGTGATTCAGTTTTCCCTTGGCATGATGGAGAGAATGTTCATGTTCTCTCAGTAAGTCAGAACTTCTTGTTGTACCACTTCCAGTAGGATCTGAAGTTGTAGGCTGCAGTAGTCTGAAGGATACGAGAAAAAGTGTAAGTAAATGTGCTGTTTTTGATATTTCAAAATGAACTATTCTATAGGCTTATGTAAGCAACAGTAACAGTGGGATCATTAGGCAAACCTTCTAATACCAATGCGTTCTCTTTGATCTAAGAGATGGCTTTGTTTGAAGATGTACTGTTTTTCAGTTAGACTGAGCTCATGCTTTGCTCACTGTTAACTAACTGCTGACATGTCATGTTCACACACTTGCAGAAGAGGAAGTGAACAGAGCTTGTTGCTGGCTGTTGTGTCTCACACTTTTACACATTCACCAAGTGGTATGTGGCAGTTAACGCACATCCACCTTCCTAATGAGATATGGTATTGCTATTACCAATATCCAATGATGTCCAGTACACACAACAGAGTGTTAAATATGGGCTTCCAAGTAACCATAATGGTACATGGCCTTTAACCACAAAAATGTGTAAACCACAAAAAGGTGGAACAGTATGTCAAAAGCTAATAAAACAGAAAGCAGTGGTTAGTAAATTCTGTTTGACCTGTATTAAATTGAAAATAGGTTTTAACCTATGAACTTCATTGATTTTTTTAAAAAATATATCCTTATTTCAATTTGCTTGGAAGCTGATGAATGGTTTTGCCATTGTGCTGTTATACAAGTTTTCAGCTGCGCAATGATATGTGGCCTTTGTTGTCATATTTTGCTCTTCATAATGTGCCATGTGTTTTCAGCGGCAGACAGGTAAGCCAGTCTTTTATCTGCACTTTCTGATTACGCAGCCCTGCTGTTATAACACATGCAGAATGTGGCTTGGTGTTATCACATTGAAATAAACAAGGACATCCCTGAAAAAAAGATGTCATCTAGAAGGCAGCATATGTTGCTCCAAAATGTGTATATAGATACATTGCATTAATAGTGCCTTCACACCACCTTACCATCCCCAACTTTATGCTGGGAACAATCTGGATTGTTCATTTCGTCTTTGTCTCAGAGAACATGACCTACATTATTTTCTCAAACAATCTGACAGGTTGACATGTTAGACCACAATACATGCATACATTAGTCCATTTCAGATGAAGTCAAGCCCAGAGGAATCAGCAGCATTTCTGGACATTGTTGACATATGGCTTCCACTGTCCACAGTACAGTCTTAACTTACATTTGTGGATACACACAGAGATTTCTCAGAATTCTCTGATTCTTTTGATGACATGCACTGTAGAGGGTGAAATACCTAAAATCCTTGCAATCACTTGATGAACGTTGTTGCTGAAGCATTTTTTGGCAAAGTGGCGAGGCTGTGACACATACTTGCTCATAAAGAACTAAGCCTTTCCTGGATACTCCTTTTATACCCAAGTATGATTGCATCTCCTGTTTTTTAACATTTCACAAACAAGTTGAAGATAAAACAAGTTGATGAGACATTAAATATATTGTCTTTGTACTGCTTTAGTTTAAATACATGTCAAAGTGGATTTCCAAATCACTGTTTTCGGTTTGCATTTCTCACACTGTCCCACCTTTTTTAGAATTGAGGTTTTTATAAACTTGCATTTGTTATGCTCTATGTATACAAATACTGTGCTATACAGTCGTCAGAGGCTTCAGGAGACCTTATATAGCAGAGAGTGGACTAGAGATTTTTTCATGAATAGCAGTTGGGCTCAGCAATAACACAAATTTGGTTGAGAAAGTAAGGGCTCAACTCACTGAAGGCTTTTTTCCACTGGGCTGGTATATATGAGCGTTTTACTGCCAGGTAGTACACTGGTACTCCAGAAAGTGTTAGAGCACAACTGCCGCCTGTGTTCCATGGGTCTGAATACAGAGACATACCCACGATGCAGAAACACACCACTGTGAAGACCACAATCACAGCTAAAGGAACCTGGATTTAGGAAAAAAAAAAACAGTGTTAATTTCAAATCAGAATAATGTTTGGCTTCTCATGAAGTATTTAGCAACAGATGTGTTGTCCTAGCACCAAAACACCGAAGGAAATAGAAATGAATGAGAAATCTTTATAAACTAGTGATACGGGGCAATTTTACATAAAAAAACTAAAATAACAATTAAAAACATGGAAACAGGAAATAGCAAGACCTTAAATGGCCTTGGATAGTCTGGGAATCGATAGCGGTGGATAAGAAGCCCCAGAGTCGCCAAGGCAATGAAGAACCAGCGTGAGAAGGAGGCGAAGTTGATCAACTGAAAGATCTCTCCTCTTGCTACCATGACAAGCACCAGAGGGTACTGTGAACAACATGAATAGATACAATGTATAGACAAGATATATAGATATGAAATCTAAGGATACATATGATATTATATCTTTAATGTACTTCTAGCAACATACAAAAAGGCTTTAACTAGAAATTAGCATCAACCAAATTCTCTACAAATACAAGACTGGATTAAAGGCATGCAGTAGGCTTTTATTATGGGAAAAAAAAAAAAACTGCTATCTAAAACTCCCAAAAGATATGACCCATACTGAGCAGTTGCTGCTAACATACAGTCAAATACTCAAATACTTTAAATAGTTCTATTCAGCAAAAAGGATGTATGTCAGGATTTATGATCCTGTATTCTATGCATTTTCAACCTTGATAATTCTGATAAAAAGAATGCATTTTGGCGATGTTGAGATAAATAAGCTTCCCATCATTCTTAAAGACTTATATGTATTACAAAGAAGCATCTACTCCAGTAGATGATGTTAATGGCAATGGCTAAATGTCCTTTCCACATAACATTTAAAATAATAGAGACAGACTGGGTGGGTAACAGACATCAAACACTGCTATGAGTAAAAACATGGGTGGACAGACAGATAAGTAGAAAATTAAACATATCTACATTCTCAAGTAAGCATATGAGCATGCAACAAAATACTGTATATTCATGGTACTTTTACAGTATTTTTCTTAAACATACAAAAACACAAACTAAATATGAAATTACTGTACATTACCAGCAATAGCACAGCTGGCAGGGGTGTCTTTCTCTGTAAGTGGATCATGGAAAAGAGAGCTGGCCAGTGTCCCTCTCTGGCTCCCACAAACAGCATCCTATATCCACACCCATACATATATATGCACACACACACACACACACACACACACCATTTTTCCTCTTGATGTAAATTGGGTGGTCCAAATTTTGGGTTATGCTTCAGTAAGCATTCCCCTGACCAATCACAAGGCTCTTGCCCTGCCCACACAAAACACTTTCAGAGTCAGAGAAACTTCAAGAGCTAAAGCTAACCCAGCATAACCAAAAGCTAGCAAGCTAGGCCAGCTGTCTGTAGCTGCCTGTCATCCATTCATTTGTTAATCATACACGAAAACTGGGCCTCATTCACCAATATCTTTTTCTTAAATTTGTTCTTGAGAAAGGTCCTATGAAAGGTCTACATCAGATTCATGATGTGTTCTTAAAGTGCAAAACTGCTCGCACCTTTGTGTTCTTGAGTGTGTGTAGATTCTGTTCTCACCTAAGAACAAATCCCAAATAAGAAAACATTGGTGAATGTAAGAATCTTCGAGAAAACTCAGAGAGGAGATGGACAGAGAGCTGTCAATCAAGCTGTTCATCAACGACGCCCACACAGTTCACAGATGGGTCTGATCAGCAGTTTTCAAGTTGTGTATTATCATATTTATATTTTACATTTTTCATTCAAGCATTGCTGGATGTGTAATATAACACTCAAGTTTAGAATCATGTAAACATGTTTAATATTCAACTCTGTGTGCCCCAAGACTTTAAAGTCATCACATTTCTTTGAATTACAAATGACACACTGATTGTTCCAGCAAGCATTTTTATTGCAAACCATTATATTGTTAGGAAATTTTCAAAATCAAAATGTATTATTTGTCAGCAGATCTTAAAACTGAAAAATGCTGCTTGCATAAGTTTTCAACCGTATCAGACTGCACCTTGTGCTGCAGTAACAGCTTTATGTCTGAACACTGTTTGGGAGTGATTCACCCAATCCTCCTGGCTTGCCAAATTCTAAACTCCTATATTATAACTCAAAAAAATAATACTTAATTTTGTTTTTTCAATGTTGTTTTTAATCAGGGCGGCACAGTGGCGCAGTGGGTAGCGCTGTTGCCTCACAGCAAGAATGGCCTGGGTTCGATTCCCGGCTGGGCGACCAGGGCCGTTTCTGTGTGGAGTTTGCCTGTTCTCCCCGTGTCTGCGTGGGTTTCCTCCAGGTACTCCGGTTTCCTCCCACAGTCCAAAAACATGCAGTCAGGCTGATTGGACTTGCTAAATTGCTCCTGGGTGTGAATGTATGTGTATGTCTGTCTGCCCTGCGATGGACTGGCGACCTGTCCAGGGTGTATCCTGCCTTCCGCCCAATGACAGCTGGGATAGGCTCCAGCACCCCACCACGACCCAGAAGGATAAGCGGTTTAGATGATGTATGTATGTTTTTAATCAATAATAACTTATTATTGAAACTTAAGATATAGTTTTCATCTTTTGTAACTGTGTATTCCATACCTAGGTACTCCAAAGAATCCTCCATTAAGGGCCCCAAGGCAGGACAGAGAAACCAGTATTGGCACCCCTGAGGCCACGCCCTGCAAAGCTCGGCTGGCAAAGGTCTGTATACAGTCAAAAAGGAATAAAAGAGAACTGGCCTATGCACATTCAAATAATGGTATTTTTGGAAATGTTTAAGTCCCATTAATACTGACCACAGCCACTGCCTCAGACCTCAGCAGCTCATCTCCGGTCATCATAGTGTAGTATGCCACGTTAACCAGCACATAACACACGGTAACCGTGATCATGGATAAAACGATTGCCAGTGGAATATTTCTGACAGGTACAAGAATCTGAACTTAGACACATTTTACAACAGTACAAGTATCAAAGTTTCTAAATAATTAAATCCTGTAGATGCAAATAAAGTAATTTTTGGTGGTTTGATGTGAGTAGTGGTGATAGGAACCGTACATCTGGATCGTTTGTTGTTTCTGAAAGCTACCTTACAGAAAGTTATTACACGAAGTGTTTATGAATCTGTTGCCTGAGACATTGTTGAACAAAAGTCTTAAGATAAGCTTTTGGCCAAAAATATTTCAATACATTCATGGCAGAGAGGTACATGCAAAATAGTCCCCAAAGGAAGCTTTTTGTCAGACTTACAACTCTTTTACCATTATCAACGTTACATGGAGTATCTCATTCTTTCATTTTGGATAGTAAATAAAATTCGCACTGTAGACATTGTGACACCAGGTTCCTATCACTACTGAAAAGAAAATCTAGTCTATAAGTTCCACATCAAAGCACTCTCAATGACTTTTGTTTCTCAATGATTAAATTGCGCAGAAAATTTGAAACTTGAATTCCCCTAATGCAGTAAGGTTGCTTTAGTTGTATGATTAGATTTCCTTTTTAGTTTTACATACCTATTTGGATTAATAACTTCCTCTGTCACATAGTTTAAAGTAAACCTGAAAGCAAAGACAGTAGTGTACCATAAGTAACAGTGCACAGTGACACATTTTTGTTGTTTTGAATCTGCTCTGGTTTATTGGATTTGAAATCAGAAAAAAAAACAATGACTGAGGTTAAAATGCAAAACATCAGTTTTAATTTAAATTTTAAGGCATAATAGTGTTTGGGACATAGGGCTACACAGGTGTTAGGTGTGTTTAATTGCTTCATTAGGGCAGGTACAAAATTCTAGGCTTGGTCAGCTTTGGAGTCTGCTTTTGCTGTTTTCAACAAGAGGACTAGAGTTGTGCCAATAGAAGTCAAGGAAACCATCAAGTCTGAGAAACAAAAATAAAACAGTAAGTGACATCGGCCACACCTTAGGATTACCAAAATCAAGATGTAAGATTATTAAGAAGCAAGAGAAAACTAGCTTAGTAACCAAAAACAGACTGGTAAGACAAGGAAGATCTCCACAGCTGATGACAGAAGAATTCTCACCATAATGAATTAATAATGATAATAAAGTTCCTAAAGTTCTTAAAAGAGCCTGAAGAGGAAAATGTCTTGTGGACAGATGAGACCAAGATTAACTTGTATCATTGCGAGAGCAAGAGCAAAGTGTCAAGATGAAAAAGAACTGACCAGAATCCAAAGCATTCCACATCATCTGTAAAACACTTACTGTCCACTCTATTAGACATTCCTACCTTGTCAGTCCACCTTGTAGATGTAAAGTCAGAGACGACAGCTCATCTGCTGCTGCACAGTTTGTGTTGGTCAACTTTAGTCCTTCATCATTGGTCACAGGATGCTGCCCATATTTTTGGCTGCATATTTTTGGTTGGTGGACTATTCTCAGTCCAGCAGTGACACTAAGGTGTTTAAAAACTCCAGCTGCTGTGTCTGATCCACTTGTACCACCACAACACACACTAACACACCACCACCACATCAGTGTTACTGCAGTGCTGAGGATGATCCACCACCCAAATGGTATCTGCTCTGTGAGCGTCCAACGGGGTCCTGACCACTGAGGAACAGGGTAAAAGGGGGCTAACAAAGTTATATATATATATATATATATATATATATATATATATATATATATATATAGTAAGTGGAACTGATAAAATGGACAATGAGTGTAGAAACAAGGAGGTGGTCATAATGTTAGGCCTCATCGGTGTATACTGGCAAAACAAGACAGCGTTTTTCAAAAAAACTAAAAAAAACTAAAAACTGGACAATTCTTGACTGGCCAGGTCAGTCACCTGATACGAATCCCCTTAGCATGCGTTTCATATGCTGAAGAAAAAACTTAAGGGGACTAGACGCTGAAACAAGCAGGAGCTAAAGATGGCTGCAGTACAAGCATGGCAGAGTATCACCAGAGAAGATACACAACATCTGGTGATGTCCATGAATTACAGACTTCGAGCAGGCATTGCATGCAAAGGATATGCAACAACGTAGTAAACATTACTGTTTAATTGATTACTGCACACACCACTCAAATTTGCACATCTGACATATTTGCATCTGGAGTCTTACTGTTGTCTCTCAACATGAGGACAAAAAAGGGAATTTGGTAATAGTGAATGATCTGAATGATCACAAAGGACCACGGTAGCCACTAGTGGCTGACTGAAAGATGCGTTCATAAATAAAGAAAGCTCGATAACCAAGATACAGGCATAGTTTTGTCAAACAATGAAGAGAAGAATCCACCAGTATGACCTGAGATGGATACCATGTTACAACTTGCTACAAATACATGAAAAAGTCTGTTGTGTTCTGGAACAAAGTCTTAAGACAATAAGACAATGAATAACCCTGTATCCTGAATATGTTACTGTGTATCAAAAGAGCTGTGATTCCTGTACTGTTCACCCGAAATAATCACCCTCGATTTAAAGATGCCTTTGTGCTCTTTGACCTCACTATCATTGTTTAATTTCAAATCCAATGAACTTGGGTACAGAAATGGTGTCACTATCCAGTTCCACACAGACTGCACTGTAAGGCTGTTTTTGTCAGTTAATGAAAAAAAGAGAAAAAAGTGGTGATAGGAACCAGGAGTGTGCAATGCAATATACAGCCATTTACTTACTATGCAGAGATATAGTTACTAAACAAACACCATGCATATACCTCTTCATGCCACATGTATTCTACAAAAACTGTTGTGAAGGATGTCAAGCATCAGGGAACATATCTGGAGCCCTTTGATATAAAAACTTTCTATGAAGTAGCATTTAGAGACATTCTGGTTCCTATCACCACCACTGTGAACAGTTTGGACTCACTTTTTTCTGACTAAGTTTCTCTAGAATTAGTACTTCTCATCAAAACGTTCTGACTTTGTTTACATGTTCATGGTTTGATCCTGCCAATGATTTTGAAAAATAAGTGGAATTCCCCTTTAATACTCACCATCCACCATAGGCATAGAGACCTGAGTAGAAGGCCAAAGGAAGCTTGGTCAGGGTGAAAGACTCTGTGTCCATGTCAAAAGCATTCTGGAAGTTTTCTGTTTGTCCTGATGCGAGAGAGAAAAGACAATGAACCACAAACTCACTCTAATCTGACGATCGTGGTTAAGGAAATTAATAATAAAGTATACTCTTTAGTTTCCTCTTTAGAACCTCCCACCAATGTGACTTGTACAGAACAGCTTTACAGATCTTTAACAACTCTGCTTACCAGCTCCATCAAGCAAAATTTGTTCTAAACATTATAACCTGATCAAACTACTGTGTGTCAATAAACATTAAATCAAAGGCTGTTCTTGAATAAGTTAAGCACAATGTTTAATACTTCTTTTGTGAAATAAGTGTCTTATTTCACATTTATAGACACTAGGGCCTGACCGATACAAAAATGTTATGGCCGATACCGATATTGGTTTTAAAGAGCTAAAAATTCAGATAACTGTTAAAAAATAACAAATGTAATTCTATGTGGTCAAAAATGAAAGATAGTAATTGTAATGGTTTTAGTTAAACCATCCTTTACTGACTGATGTGACTAATTTGTTAACTGCACATGTCACTTCGTAATTGTCACATCCTGTAAACCAAAATAAACAGCACAAAGGACAGTACTTCCCAGCATTTTTTTTTTCTTTGGTGATTTTTTTTTGGTGTTTTTTCTCCTCTATGTATCATCGATTCTCTTCATGGAAAGTGTTTTTATATTTTATGTCATGTTAAAGAGGATTGGTATACAAGCATGAAATTGTAAAATTGTAAAGAGAGTGATTTTTCTTACTTCAGATGTGTCTGTTTAGACACTAACAATTTAGACAATTCAGAATTTGTTTATCTGCATAATCGCTATTGTTGTGTAGCTCAGGGGCATCTACAGAGCTTTGGTGCTTTAAAGTGAAAAGAGTTTGGCTTTCTATTGTAACAGTATTGTATTCCACATTTCCTACCTTGGGCAAGGGCCATGATGCCCGGGACGATGATTAGAGCCAGAGCAAAGATTTTAATGAAGGTCAGAGTGACTTGAGTACGAGAGGCCAAAGACACACTCCAGCAATTCACTGCCACGACAAATGCTAGAATATACATAAACAGAAGATTTACTTTAGAGTACTATAGGGTAGAGGTGGGTGATATGGTGAAAACATTGTCATGATACTTCATAATAAGATCAGTTAAATAAGTTGGATCAAACAAAACAGCATCTGTAGTGCCACATATAATAAATATTCTACAACTACAATAATTTTGTTCAATATTTTACAAACTGCACCACACTAAATCTAATTAAACAGGAGTTATTATGCTCACTTTGTAAAGAAACGTAGTTAGTCAGCGTTCTTTAAGTACTGACAATATCCTTGATATGCTCAAAAAAACATTGTGACATAATTGAACTGTGCATTAACATTTGCAGAAAAAAATATATTTTTCATAATAGTTTGCTGCAGAGGTTGCGCTGACTTCTTTTTGCTTCAAAAGTTAACAAATTATGTATTTTGATTACTTTTGCATACAACCACATATCCAATATCCAACTTTTATATGCAACATGCAACTTAGCCTCTGGTCCTGGAGGGACAGATTCTTGCACAGTTTGGTGATTTTCAGGCTCAAACACACCAGATTCAACTCAGCAGCTGACTTCCAGTTTTATTCAGTGTGATGGAGAACAGAATTCACTAAACTGTGCAAGAATCCAGCCCTAAATTTAAACTTGTGTGCAGCAAGCATACTGATTGTAGATCCACATTAATTTCTATGGGTGCATTAAGACATTCACATAATCAAACAAACATCAATCGTTTTCGTAATGCAGGCCAATCTTTTACTGTATAAAGCATTCAGGAATGTGTTTTCAATAAAATGCAAGCCACACTGCCATAGCAATGTGTTCCTATGGAATTTTGCCTTCAATGAGAAGCCCTTGTATGTACTTCAAAAAGGATTTAGTTACTGAAATCCACTCACTAACTCCAAGGATGCTGACTAGTTTGACCAGTGCTGGAGGAGCTGGGCATGGCATGTAAAGTGGTTCTACAACATAGCGCCCAAAAGCCAGTGACACATAAGAGGCCACTGCCGGCCTACAACACAGAAAAGTGTTTGTCAAGAAATGCCAGTAAATCATTACACGTTAAGTTGAACGAACTGAAGTTTGCAACAGACTGTTCACACTGAATAGATGCACTGTATACACAAACCTACTACATGAAAGTTTTTTCTTCAGTGTACTGGAATTCAGAACACACTAACCTGATGAAAATGAACTCAGCCCACAGTCTCAGGAAAGCAGGAAGGGGGCCAAGGGTCTCAAGTAAGTATGTGTAATGACCACCAGACTTTTTAAAGCTGGTACCTAACTCAGCATAGCACAGGGCACCTGAGCAGAGCAACAGACACAACACACATAGAAATTATAACGTATACAGCAGCATTCAAAAGTCTTAGGAAGCCATGAAAGTTGTTTAAAACTGTTTGTAAGGGTGTTTTGCAGATACAAAACACTATATAACAGTAGAATAAGGGATGCACAATCAAAATCAACCAGGATTGGACTTAGAAATTTGCTCCAAAAAGCAATCTGCCAATTTATGATTTTTATTTTGGGCAATCTGTTTTGAAACTTTACAACATGAGTTACACTTAGATAACATAATATGGGTAAGTGCACTTTTGCTGCATTCACCAAATACATAATTCTGCATGACTCATTGTGCTAAATAGCCACCTGCCCCTTACACCACGTTCCAAATTATTATGCAAATGATATTTTTCTCTGATTTTCCTAAATGGTCGATGCAAATGACAGTCAGTATAATTTTAAAGTCATCAACCATTAGAGTATAAATCAAATTTTATTGAACAAACCTCCCAATGATAACAGTATTTTTTCAAAAATAAAAAAAAAAACTCAAAATGCACTGTTCCAAATTATTATGCACAACAGTTTCAAAACATTTTATAGGTTGTAAAGAACTGAAAATGGTCATTTGTTGAATTTGCAGCATTAAGAGGTTACATTTACTGAAATCAAAAACATCTTAAAAGGCCAAGCTACATGTTAACATAGGACCCCTTCTTTGATATCACCTTCACAATTCTTGCATCCATTGAACTTCTGAGTTTTTGTAGAGTTTCTGCTTCAATTTCTTTGCAGGATGTCAGAATAGCCTCCCAGAGCTGCTGTTTTGATGTGAACTGCCTCCCACCCTCATAGATCTTTTGCTTGAGGATACTCCAAAGGTTCTCAATAGGGTTGAGGTCAGGGGAGGATGGTGGCCACACCATGAGTTTCTCTCCTTTTATGCCCATAGCAGCCAATGACAGAGGTATTCTTTGCAGCATGATGGTGCATTGTCATGCATGAAGATGATTTTGCTATGGAAGAAATGGTTTTTCATTTTGTACCATGGAAGAAAGTGGTCAGTCAGAAACTCTATATACTTTGCCGAGGTCATTTTCACACCTTCAGGGACCCTAAAGGGGCCTACCAGCAGTAGGTTTATGCACCAGCAGCTTCAAATACCTGTTTGCTGCTTTGTACTGGCATTTTAGCAGCTGCTCTCTTAATCCTATGAATTTGTCTGGCAGAAACCTTCCTCATTATAGCCTTATCTGCACAAACCTGTCTGAATCAGCCACAAATCTCTTCACAGTACGATGATTACACTTAAGTTTTCGTGAAATACCTGTTTTCATACCTTGTCCAAGGCATTGCACTATTTGACGCTTTTCGGCAGCAGAGGGATCCTTTTTCTTTCCTATATTGCTTGAAACCTGTTGCCTGCTTAATAATGTGGAACATCCTTCTTAAGTAGTTTTCCTTTAATTAGGCTAACCTGGCAAACTAATTATCACAGGTGTCTGAGATTGATTTCAGTGATCCAAAGTGCCCTGAGACACAATACCATCCATGAGTTTAACTGAAAAACAAATGACACTTTATGACACTTAAATCTAATTTGCATAATAATTTGAAACATGGTGTACTTTAGATGTAGCACTTTGATTCATGTTATATAAATAGGCAACAGATCTTTCATTTATTAATATAAAATGCCAGTCTAGCCCATTAAAGAGCAAATAATGCTATGCATGTAATGACTCGCTGTCTAATAGAAATCATGCGCTAGTGTGTTTCAAGTGTGAATTTACTCCACACAGTGTGAGCAACTTGGCTGTAATGAAATTGGAATAACAATCAATAACAAAAAAAATCATGATGAATGCATCTCTAATTAGAATAAATACAAATAAACATAAATACAGTAAAATGTAACCAGAATGTCTTGTTTTCAAAAATGTTGTTAATACAATTAGACAACCAGAAAGAGAAGTAACACAGGTTTGGTTCCTGACTTCTTGCTGCACTCCAGTCATCATATGGGTTTGTAAAATTTCATCAGCAGCACATCTGATTTAATTTAATGATGATGACAATTGATTGATGAGCCAAAGCAGGTGTTGGGTGGTAACTGTAAATGCTAAACTTCTTCCAGGACAGATTTGTTAATGGTTAAGGCAACACACTCACACATAAAATCACAATAGATTTTTTATTTGTATTTATTCTAATGTTAGTGTTTTTTGAACAAATATGCACTTACTGCCTTGAAAAATAGCTTTACATGTCATTTTCTACGTACTACATATCTGCAAATACACACTAACTCTTGATCAAGTTTAACTTTTGTGTACAAACTGAGGTACTGAAATGCTGTAGTTCTGTTCGAAGTTCGAAATTGTTTACAGTATGCTGTAAAATGGATGAATTTTGCTTTTAAAAGCATTGCAAATTGCTTCCTTTTTTACACTGTACCATGTTGGTAACAGCTGAAAACAAAAAATTGCTATTTACTGATTAGAAATCCCATCAATCCAGTGATCTACACAGCTTTAAAGATTACCAGTGAGCATCTTTAGAGGTTAAAATAATATACTTCATATATGGATTATAGTATCTACTTACATATATGACCTTATAATATGAAGGTAACACAGTATCAGATGATATTTAAGTTTGCATAAATAAAACTAATGAGACCATGCTTCCTCAGCATGGCTACTCGATGCTAAAAGAATGTTATATAAACCTAGCACAGCTTATTCTGATTGGACTGTTTTGTTCTGTTTCCTTTTCTTAAAATTTCAGCACACAAAAAATAGATTTCCAAAAAGGAAACTTGGTGTTTATTTAGTTTTTATGTATTTTTAACTGTTATTTTGAACAATCTGAAGCACCAAACAAAACACATAAACTGCAATGAAAATGACAGGTCCTGGATACCAAAGTGCACAAAATAGAGCAGAAGAAAAAAACTGATTGGCAACACAGCTATTTTATGGAATAGGTTATTTTCATGGACCTAATGCTGGCTATCGGTGCCACTAAAACTGAAAATCAATATCTCAGTGTAACATGAATGGAGCACAGACTGTCCAGCACTACATAAAAAAATATCTTAAAAAAAAACCCCACATACCAAAGGTGGAGAGGACTCCGCAGAGTGCCCACACCAGCAAGGACAGTCCCACGTTGCCCGAGTTCATCAGCACACCTTTGGGAGCAATGAAGATGCCACTGCCCACCACTGAGCCGATGATGAAGGAGACAGCGGGCAGCAGAGTGATCCTCCGCCTGAGATGAACTCCTTCATCTTTCCCTTTATCCCCCACTCTTTCAGCCACTGTCTCTTGTTGAGATGTCCCCATACCTCAAGTCTGGCAAAACCGCTGGAGGTCAACTTGTTTACTTGTAGAGAAAAAAAAGACAAAGCTCCCTATTCTTTTCTTATTTACACTGCATTAGTTACATCTGAATTTAAAGAACAAGTAAGTAACAGGACTACTCACCAGAACAGTTAGGTAACGCAACTATTCACCAGAGTACTGCAGGCTGTGCACTCTCTCACATGGTCGTGTTGACTGTGTCCTGTTCCCCCCTCTGGCAGGCTCATTTCATTCAGGCACAGTAACCGTGGAAACTGAGGCACCCTGCTTAGATTTCAGGCAAGGAACAAAGCCAGCAGTCTTTCCCAACTTCATCAGCATGAGCAATTAAAGCTTTTTAGAGGGGCAAAGGCCGCTGCACTGCTCTGTGCGTATGTGTGTGTAGACCCTGCTTGAATGTGTGCATAGCATGACACAGGAATCCAACATGGGTAGAATCCCCTCAGCCCCCAACTGTAACTCCTCACCTTGCTGATACAGCGGCAAAGCAGATGTTCTCTCCCAGCAACAGGAATACACCACTCTCACATATTTAATGTTTATAGCTTACCTGAAATGATCCGATATGATGCTTGTTTGGTGTCTGAAGTTTGCTTCTTTTGTTTAACACCGGAGCTAATGTAACTTGTTTTGTTTAACACAAGGCTAATGTAGGTAAGAAGTAATGGAAGCTTATAGTTGACCAGTTAGCACTGAGCAAACTGCTGCAAACTGGTGAGCTGTTAAGTAATCTCACTTTTTTTTTTTGCTTATGTAGTTCCTGACAATGTATGCATACCGAGATCTATAAAAAAAATAAAAAAATACAATAAATTCTATAGCTAAAAAGAGTAGTAGCCATCAAGGCTGATTTTTGTATGTACTTTTGTTCATTCTTTAATAGACAAAACTATCCTACAAAGTCAAATCACATCAACTCAATTCAGCTTGAGATTACTTAATGTCTCCATGCAGTGTGTGATGATTTAGGAATGCATTTGCACATTGCTAATTGGTCAAGTCCAGCATCAGAGGCTCATTTAGTAGGGTAAACCCACTACTTTTTATACATGCTTTTATTACACGCTTCTGGAGTGGCAGGTGTTAAAAAACATCTTCGCTCCTACTGCTCGCCACACCTGATTTCAAAGGCTATACTGAAGAGGTTTGCATGCTTCACTCTGTACTGTTTACATTTTAGGGATGTGCTGTCTGTTGCAGGAATATAAAATAACAGATTTCTAAAATGTCAAGACATTTGGTGATTTGCTCTAAATATGGCTTCTCTGTTGATTCTCTTCTGAATGTGTGGCTCTTTTTGACAGATCTACCATTTTCCTTACGTCTTTCGTGCTACATTAACACACTAAACCCCAAAAACCCTCCCTTCTAACCCATGGTTTTTGAATGCTACACTCATGATTTACTTCTGATGTGGTGTAAACTTCAATTTACGGGACAACTGCTTGTTAGCTACATTAGCCTCATAGCTGTAGTACAAAACTATGAATAACTCTAAACTTCAGACACTAAACATCTGGAGTAAGGGGGGAAATTGTGTAAATCAGATTTTTCATTGAACTTGTGGCCATTTTATCCAAACGAGCGCTGGATATTCTGCACAATCACTGGGTGTTCTGAATGCACACATCACTGATGGATGACTGAAAGATCATGTCATGACTTTGTAGCTAATAGCTGTAGCCGCTACAGTTTCATGAACTGTAGCTAGTAGCTGTAGCGCCTACAATTTTTTGTGTAGCTATAGCGATCATTTTCGCTACAGGCTTCAGGCAATCCATGCAAAATCGTCGTTGACTGGGCTAGTGGCGATTGTGCAATCCTGATTGACTGAGCTACGGACAGTTCGAGCAAACGACCACGCGCTGACCCCACCCGCTAATCACCCCTTACTAGTAGGCTTGGCTCAGGGGTCGGCAACCGAAATGTTAGGTAGAGCCATTTTGTCTTTTCAACAAAAATGAGACCCCCTTGGGAGCCACAACATTTTGTGTCCGTTTTACCACCATGGCTGTAGATATGTCTCAGTATGTGCTGATGTACTAGTAAAGGTTACAAATATAATATAAACCAAAACGCAGACTTACTTTGCTCCGCTTTAACCTTTAGTTCAGCTGTAGCCGCTTTTCTCGCACCTCAGTCAGGAAACTTTTCCACAGAATTGTTTCTTGTAAAAGGTCTCTCAACGTTCAACTTTTCATGAGGCCGTAGTTAGCTTCTCATTCGCCAGCTCTTCGTTCGAATTGTCCCGTTCCACCCTAAAAAGTGCCTGAGGCGCCAGAATGCAACTGCTGCACCATTTAAGGTGGAACGAGACAATTCCAACAAGAAGCTGGCGAAAACGCTTTGGCGTTTCGTTAGGCGAGACTGATATCTGTCCAGCAGTCTCTTCTGCGTTAAAAGTTGGTGAATTAGCAGTTATGAGTTAACTCCAGCATTTAAGACAATTTATTGTGAAAACTGTGTGTTATGACGATTTTACAGCAAAGAAGGATTATGTTATTTTACCTAAAAATCTAGTTCTGCTGTGGAGCCACAACAGCTCTGCAGCAGTGGAGAGATTATTCGGCTGCGCAGGCCTGAATCTCACCCCAAACAGAGCCAGCTGGGTCACTGATGAGAATTTTGAGGCTAAAGTGTTGCTGAAGTTTGACAAAGGACTCTGAATGTCATGTCTGTATGTATCTTGCTGAAATGTTTAAATTGGAGCAGTGTTATTTCAACTGTTGACAATGCTTTGCACAAAATTGTTTGGTTTGTATACAGTTATTTTTGTTGATTTTTGTCTCACTCCAGCTGTGATCAAAGGTCCCAAATCTGAAATCTGTGTTCTGCGGTTGTTCCTATATCTAGAGAATATCAGAGTAAAGTCTAGATTCTGAAAAGGTAGGAAGTTTTCATTTAGGCTTGAGATCATAGAGACTGTTCCCTCCAAAAGTGTTGTAATACAGGAGCTTTTAAAGGTATGGATCACTTGCCATATTAACAATTTTTGTTATTTTAAATGCAATAATAACTTAAACTGTGTAGATGTGAACAGATGTTTTATTTTAGGAATTCTTTGAACAAGAAGTTATTAAATAATAAATAAGATACAACTTGACCTGTTTACATTCATTTTTATGTCAAAATATCTGCTTCGAGATTTGATCACCACTTTTGAAATTCTAATGCTAGGTATTCATCATTTTATTATAAAATAGTTCTCTATGTTATCTAAATCATTTTAGTAACATATTCTACTTCTCTGTTCCTCATTTTGGAACATCTCAGATTTCTTTACTTATTTACAGCTTCCTAGTGTCTTACTAATTGTTTGAAAGTTGTAAAATTGCACAGGGCTTACATACTAGAATCATTTTACCCTAAATTGGTTTTGCATTATTTAAACTTTGATTCCATACTAGAACAGAGATTCCAAACTTTTAAACAGAATTGTCTTAAAATTTAACACAAAAAGTGCCAGAAAAACATAAACTTCAAGATATACTCACAAATAAAATGAAAATGCTTTTTTTACCTTATATTTCTGATTTAATCTTTAATCTTAAGTTCTTTTGGTAACCACTAAACATTCAAGTCAGCAATTATTTAAGTAAGTAGTTAACTAGCCAAATAAAATAAATAAATAAATAAATAAATAAATAAAAAGAAATTAAAAAAATTACTTACATCTGGAAAGAAAGAAAGAACAGACTTTAGCACAGGAGAGAATAGCAGTCAGCTTGAAGTACAAAAACCCAGTGGATAAAAAAAAAATCCTGACATCTGCATGAGATGTTTTTCTGGAACATCCCCTCCTGTTTGTTTAGCTTCTGTGTTTAGACAGCTGTAAATGAATGACAAAGAATTTTCAACATTGAAAGAAAGCTTAACATTAACAGTTCAACTTAAAATGTTCCCAACATCAATGATAAAGTTAAGTATTATATGAATGTGTAACTCTTTGAGCAGTACATGCTCTATGTTTTCAGTAAGTCCTGGGACCATTTTAGTTTTCTGATAATTTTTAAATTCACAATGCATAATAGAAGGAAGACTTTTATCATTTTGTAATGCTTATGTACCAAACATGGCCTCTTTGCTATTTGGTTCTATAATTATGTATTGTGCCGCTGCATCCTTTGTTATTTCAAAACTGAAAACAATATAAAAGTATAGCTAATGGTCAATCAAAAGTTCAGTTCAACAAATAAATGGAGTGCATGGTTTTAAATCCAAAATTCAGTAAGTTGTCTAACCACAACTGCTGAATGTTAAACAGCACTGCTAACCACGAGAGAAGAGCTGGTTAGCATTAACTTAGCTAGTATGCTACCAGTTCTGCTCACCACAGAACAGGGTTGATTCTGACTAACAAGCTTATTAAACCTGTTCTGTGGTGCTGGATCTGTAACTAGCCTCCTAGTTAGGCTAATGCCAGCTGGTTCCTCTCTCCTACTAGCTATCTAGTAGCCTGTAGATCCAAACACTATGATATAGGTTTTATTCCAACTAACTGGAGCCCTGCTGTTACAAGTGTAGACGATAAAAACTCATGTCTAAAGGAGCAAAGGGAACCATTGCTCTACAGTGGAAAAGAGGCCATTCCCAACTCCTGTCCTGTAGTCCAGCGGTTCTCAACTCCATTGCTGGAGAGTGTATGAGAAGCAGTGAGAAAGGGCAGAAAGAAAGTAGTTCTTATTCTTCTTATTTACTTGCTACAATCATCATTATTTAGTACGGTCACATTAATAAAATATATTCAGTTTACTGCTGAAAGAAAAAACTAACATCAGTATTTCTCAAAAGAAATAACAGAATCACAAGTATCAATACTTCTGTATTGATGCTTCAGAATCGATTCATCCACTCCTAGTTCCAACTATTCCCTGTCTCTATACACACCTAACCCAGCTCATGAAGGGCTTGATAATTAGCTTATGAACTGGGTCAGGTGTGTTGTGGTACAGGCAGGGGGTCCAAAGGAATGCACAGTATGAAACTCAAGTTAAATTGGTGATCTATATCACATGCATGCATTCATTTGTGATTATAGATAATGGATTATATGTTAGATATAGATAATTCATTTGTGGTTATAGGTTATAGATCATAGCTAATAGTTAGCAAATGCTCCTGCACTTCTAACTGATGTCACTAACTTTTGTGGAAATAAGGCTAAAAATAACTCTATTATAACAAAACCAGCTACTTTAGTGTTACCTTCTGCTGTCACTGCCACTTGACAAAGCTTGTTGGTTTGCAAGGGATATTCTAGTCAGGTTTCATGATGCACCTGCATCTGATACTCACTGATACACAATAGATCTTTCCCATCTGTTCACAGGTGACAAACTCTACAAGCTTAACATTACCTGCACTCATGCTAATTCAGTACAGACTCAGCTTAATATTACTGTTTACTCCCTTATAAGCTCATTTACGCTACCAAAATATCCTAATTATTCTTTTAATGCTGGTCACATTTTCTAAGGACGTTTGCCAGCTGGTGCAGCTGCCATTTGAGATGGAAGAGGAAAATTTTTAAAAAGAAGCTGTTAAATGAGAGGCTGACTTCAGCCTCCTTGGGAGTTGAAAAACATGAAAAAGAGATGAGGAGGTTGTCGCATTTTGTAGTTGGCGCCGTGCTTTTATGCCCATATTAGGAACTCCGGGTCTAAGCACAATTTCTCTATGGCCAGATTGAATAGGGTTTTCAGAACCCGATACGTTTTGTCCTGTGAACATTCTTCTCTCAAATAACATATATGAATCCTCTGAATTACGAGGTCATTAATGAGTTGTAATATATGAATATTGCTACATGTAAGATAATGCTACTGCGCACAGAATTTGTGTCAGCAGCCTGGCAGCCTCCTTAAGCACACTTTGTCAGTGTATTAGCGTCTTTCCACGTACAGACTGAGGACAGATGAAACGTAGTCAGAACAAAAGAAAAGTTTTTCTGCAGTCATGTGTTCTTTATCTGATAGTCACTGAAACACCATAGACCCTCTGTACATAGCTTGATTCTAAAAGCTCTACAAACTTACCTGCGCTCAAGCTAATTACAGACACAGCTTGTAACATTTTCTAAGGACAGTTTTCCAGCTTCTTTTTGTGCTTTTTCCGTTCCACCTTAAATGGTGCAGCAGTTGAACTGCCAGCAATCTGCCAGCATGCCAGCAATCTGCTGCCCAAAACCCATTTCCTGCGGAAAAAGGAAATATACAGGTAAGTTTTCTTTGCTTTTTTAGTGCAATACATCCTTAGCGATACTTTTCTAAAATTAAAGGATAGTTCTGGGCGAGTGATTAGAAGCTACTGTAACTTTTCGTTTTTAGCCGTTGAGCTCCATTTACATACATACATCATCTAAACCGCTTATCCTTCTGGGTCGCGGTGGGGTGCTGGAGCCTATCCCAGCTGTCATTGGGCGGAAGGCAGGATACGCCCTGGACAGGTGGCCAGTCCATCGCAGGGCAATAGCAACAAGCAACAAGTTTTGCTGCATACAGAGTCAATGCAGACTGCTATGTCGTAGAATAGTAAGCAGCGGTGTATGTAGGCTACATTATACTTTTGTATTACTATTTACAAAACGGACAGTTCGAGCAAACTACCACGCGCTGACCCCACCCGCTAATCACCCCTTACTAGTAGGCTTGGCTCAGGGGTCGGCAACCGAAATGTTAGGTAGAGCCATTTTGTCTTTTCAACAAAAATGAGACCCCCTTGGGAGCCACAACATTTTGTGTCCGTTTTACCACCATGGCTGTAGATATGTCTCAGTATGTGCTGATGTACTAGTAAAGGTTACAAATATAATATAAACCAAAACGCAGACTTACTTTGCTCCGCTTTAACCTTTAGTTCAGCTGTAGCCGCTTTTCTCGCACCTCAGTCAGGAAACTTTTCCACAGAATTGTTTCTTGTAAAAGGTCTCTCAACGTTCAACTTTTCATGAGGCCGTAGTTAGCTTCTCATTCGCCAGCTCTTCGTTCGAATTGTCCCGTTCCACCCTAAAAAGTGCCTGAGGCGCCAGAATGCAACTGCTGCACCATTTAAGGTGGAACGAGACAATTCCAACAAGAAGCTGGCGAAAACGCTTTGGCGTTTCGTTAGGCGAGACTGATATCTGTCCAGCAGTCTCTTCTGCGTTAAAAGTTGGTGAATTAGCAGTTATGAGTTAACTCCAGCATTTAAGACAATTTATTGTGAAAACTGTGTGTTATGACGATTTTACAGCAAAGAAGGATTATGTTATTTTACCTAAAAATCTAGTTCTGCTGTGGAGCCACAACAGCTCTGCAGCAGTGGAGAGATTATTCGGCTGCGCAGGCCTGAATCTCACCCCAAACAGAGCCAGCTGGGTCACGGATGAGAATTTTGAGGCTAAAGTGTTGCTGAAGTTTAACAAAGGACTCTGAATGTCATGTCTGTATGTATCTTGCTGAAATGTTTAAATTGGAGCAGTGTTATTTCAACTGTTGACAATGCTTTGCACAAAATTGTTTGGTTTGTATACAGTTATTTTTGTTGATTTTTGTCTCACTCCAGCTGTGATCAAAGGTCCCAAATCTGAAATCTGTGTTCTGCGGTTGTTCCTATATCTAGAGAATATCAGAGTAAAGTCTAGATTCTGAAAAGGTGGGAAGTTTTCATTTAGGCTTGAGATCATAGAGACTGTTCCCTCCAAAAGTGTTGTAATACAGGAGCTTTTAAAGGTATGGATCACTTGCCATATTAACAATTTTTGTTATTTTAAATGCAATAATAACTTAAACTGTGTAGATGTGAACAGATGTTTTATTTTAGGAATTCTTTGAACAAGAAGTTATTAAATAATAAATAAGATACAACTTGACCTGTTTACATTCATTTTTATGTCAAAATATCTGCTTCGAGATTTGATCACCACTTTTGAAATTCTAATGCTAGGTATTCATCATTTTATTATAAAATAGTTCTCTATGTTATCTAAATCATTTTAGTAACATATTCTACTTCTCTGTTCCTCATTTTGGAACATCTCAGATTTCTTTACTTATTTACAGCTTCCTAGTGTCTTAGTAATTGTTTGAAAGTTGTAAAATTGCACAGGGCTTACATACTAGAATCATTTTACCCTAAATTGGTTTTGCATTATTTAAACCTTTGATTCCATACTAGAACAGAGATTCCAAACTTTTAAACAGAAGTGTCTTAAAATTTAACACAAAAAGTGCCAGAAAAACATAAACTTCAAGATATACTCACAAATAAAATGAAAATGCTTTTTTTACCTTATATTTCTGATTTAATCTTTAATCTTAAGTTCTTTTGGTAACCACTAAACATTCAAGTCAGCAATTATTTAAGTAAGTAGTTAACTAGCCAAATAAAATAAATAAATAAATAAATAAATAAAAAGAAATTAAAAAAATTACTTACATCTGGAAAGAAAGAAAGAACAGACTTTAGCACAGGAGAGAATAGCAGTCAGCTTGAAGTACAAAAACACAAACTTTTTACCCAGTTGATAAAAAAAAAAAATCCTGACATCTGCATGAGATGTTTTGCTGGAACATCCCCTCCTGTGTTTAGACAGCTGTAAATGAATGACAAAGAATTTTCAACATTCAAAGAAAGCTTAACATTAACAGTTCAACTTAAAATGTTCCCAACATCAATGATAAAGTTAAGTATTATATGAATGTGTAACTCTTTGAGCAGTACATGCTCTATGTTTTCAGTAGGTCCTGGGACCATTTTAGTTTTCTGATAATTTTTAAATTCACAATGCATAATAGGAGGAAGACTTTTATCATTTTGTAACGCTTATGTACCAAACATGGCCTCTTTGCTATTTGGTTCTACAATTATGTATTGTGCCGCTGCATCCTTTGTTATTTCAAAACTGAAAACAATATAAAAGTATAGCTAATGGTCAATCAAAAGTTCAGTTCAACAAACAAATGGAGTGCATGGTTTTAAATCCAAAATTCAGTAAGTTGTCTAACCACAACTGCTGAATGTTAAACAGCACTGCTAACCACGAGAGAAGAGCTGGTTAGCATTAACTTAGCTAGTATGCTACCAGTTCTGCTCACCACAGAACAGGGTTGATTCTGACTAACAAGCTTATTAAACCTGTTCTGTGGTGCTGGATCTGTAACTAGCCTCCTAGTTAGGCTAATGCCAGCTGGTTCCTCTCTCCTACTAGCTATCTAGTAGCCTGTAGATCCAAACACTATGATATAGGTTTTATTCCAACTAACTGGAGCCCTGCTGTTACAAGTGTAGATGATAAAAATCATGTCTAAAGGAGCAAAGGGAACCATTGCTCTACAGTGGAAAAGAGGCCATTCCCAACTCCTGTCCTGTAGTCCAGCGGTTCTCAACTCCATTGCTGGAGAGTGTATGAGAAGCAGTGAGAAAGGGCAGAAAGAAAGTAGTTCTTATTCTTCTTATTTACTTGCTACAATCATCATTATTTAGTACGATCACATTAATAAAATATATTCAGTTTACTGCTGAAAGAAAAAACTAACACCAGCTGCGCACAGAATTTGTGTCAGCAGCCTGGCAGCCTCCTTAAGCACACTTTGTCAGTGTATTAGCGTCTTTCCACGTACAGACTGAGGACAGATGAAACGTAGTCAGAACATAAGAAACGTTTTTCTGCAGTCATGTGTTCTTTATCTGATAGTCACTGAAACACCATAGACCCTCTGTACATAGCTTGATTCTAAAAGCTCTACAAACTTACCTGCGCTCAAGCTAATTACAGACACAGCTTGTAACATTTTCTAAGGACAGTTTTCCAGCTTCTTTTTGTGCTTTTTCCGTTCCACCTTAAATGGTGCAGCAGTTGAACTGCCAGCAATCTGCCAGCATGCCAGCATGCCAGCAATCTGCTGCCCAAAACCCATTTCCTGCGGAAAAAGGAAATATACAGGTAAGTTTTCTTTGCTTTTTTAGTGCAATACATCCTTAGCGATACTTTTCTAAAATTAAAGGATAGTTCTGGGCGAGTGATTAGAAGCTACTGTAACTTTTCGTTTTTAGCCGTTGAGCTCCATTTACATACATACATACATACATCATCTAAACCGCTTATCTTTCTGGGTCGCGGTGGGGTGCTGGAGCCTATCCCAGCTGTCATTGGGCGGAAGGCAGGATACACCCTGGACAGGTCGCCAGTCCATCGCAGGGCAATAGCAATAGCAACAAGCAACAAGTTTTGCTGCATACAGAGTCAATGCAGACTGCTATGTCGTAGAATAGTAAGCAGCGGTGTATGTAGGCTACATTATACTTTTGTATTACTATTTACGAGTCACTGTACTTTAGAAGAACATCTGGGGTATTTCCATTCTGTAAAACAGCGATTTATTGTGTTGTTGATCAAGACGAAGGTGATGTTTTGCAAGTTCTTCAAATCGATATATGTCAAGTAAAAGCGGATGACCTCCGCTTTCGAGCAAAAGACTTTGAGCACGCGCTCCCGTGAGGGGGTGCATCTCGCGACAGGGGTGCCGAATTCGGCACAACACCGGCTCTGGCACAACTCGTCAGAACACCGCCAAAGACCGTCTGGGTTTCGTGTGAGCAGTAGCATTAGCTACCTTGTAGTAATATTAGTGTTAAGGCTCTTTAACGACCTTGTAATTCGAATGATCCAGTGATATTCAGGAGAAAATTGTGCGCAGGACAAAACGTATCGGGTCCTGAACATTTTTATTTAACACAGGGTGCGATAGAGGCAATTTTTCCAAAACCCCATTCATTCTGGTCATAGACAAATCGAGCTTCGAGCCGGAGTAACGGCTACAGAATGACGCACGACTTCAGTGGTCTAGTGTTGAGCGAATCTTTTAAAGCACCTGTCATTTCTCACATCATTAACATGCATACATGCGCTATTAATATTGCTCTGTTTCGACATAGTATGGTATTCTGCGTTTCTTTTGCGCAGCCTTCTCTGTTTTGCGCCTCAAAGCTTGCAGTGTCTGATGTTCGTGAACACGCCCCGCAGGACGCCGCTACGTGCAGCGGCCACATCACCAATAGGAAGTGTTCAATCTGTACCCGGTAGTTGAACAGCTGAAAGAGTGAGTACGAAAATAAAACCTAGACAGTTTTTCACAAAGTTATAGAAAGAAGGCAACATGTTCCGTTTAATTTTTAGATTAGCTATATGTTCTGTATAGTGGTGTTGCACCTTTAGCATTCGTAGTGACTCATTCACTCCAGTTCGTATTGCACATGAACTGATTACAGCTTTCGCAAGTAACGACCTAACGTCAGCTAGATCGCTTTCCCCTCCGTCTATACTGGAAGTTACTGATTTTGGTGCTATTTCTGTCGGTCGGTTATGTATTTAATTTCCCGGAAATCAGAAGTGATAGTCAGCTGCGTTAGTCAGAGGTTAAACTTCCTTCACAGCTTCATTCTGTCCTTGATGTTAGCTATTTCTTCGTTGTTGTGTTGTTGAGATTTGTTCACAAATACACTGAGCATTACTTAATAAGGTCCACCTTCCTTACTGGCCCACTATGTAGGTTTACAATTACAGAATAAAGCCCATCTTTTGTCAAGCACTGTTTTTTTTCCCCGTTAGCCCTTTTATCATTGGTCAGTTTGCCCACAGGACTGCTGTTGACTAGCAAGGTGAACTTACATGGTGGGCGTTTCTAGTAAAGTGGCTATCGAGTATATATAGTGAATAACTACAATGTTCACAAAGCGATTCTGTAACTTTACATAAGAACATGTGAGGGAAATTTACGGCCACAGTTGTTTTAGATTCTGTTGTCTTGCTTGTTAATTTTCAAAGATAAGACCAGTGCACACTGAGATGGTCTGTGGGCCAAAACGTGAGCACAGAAAATAGCTTTAAGTATCTTTTGGCAGAGATGGACCAGTTTGAGGAGGCCTCCCAGAAATCCATGCTCCATCCCAAACCAAAAGGGCTAACGTTGCAGTATGGCACAGCAGGGTTCCGCACCACAGCGAAACACTTGGACCACGTGATGTTCCGCATGGGCCTGTTGGCCACACTGAGGTCCAGAAAAACCAAGTCCACCATAGGAGTCATGGTCACTGCTTCTCACAATCCAGAGGTGAGTGGCAGTGAAGATTTATTGCATTCATTTCTCACCTAGAAAAAGATAAGACTGTTCTCTGCTTCCTCAGGAGGACAATGGAGTGAAACTGATTGACCCTATGGGGGAGATGGTGACCCCAGCCTGGGAAGGCTATGCCACACAGCTAGCCAATGCAGAGCAGGAGGCTCTGTGCGCTGCATTGAAGGACATTATTGAGAAAGAAGCCATCAGCATGAGTGATACAGCAAGTGTCTTTATAGGCAGAGATACCAGGTAAGTCAATGTGCGGTCACATGCTGCATTTAGTCTGTTTTTTTCTTAGCAGTATAATGAAATGTTATAAGTAGAAAATACTTAAAATATAGGTATAGTAATAACATATTAGCTGATGGGCTGTGCTTGCTGTCACTCAGGCCAAGCAGTGAGAACTTATCGCGGGCTGTTTTGGATGGGGTGTCCTGTTTAGGAGGGCAGATTCAAGGTGTGTAAATTTCACTTTTCTCATTCAAAATTTGGACTTTCTATTATTATTTATTATAATAGTAGTCATACAGACTTATATGGCTAATATTGTTGGTAGAATCTACTTAAAGGAAGTAGGGATGCATGATGATATTGGAATTTGACCAATAGATTTGACGAATATTTCAAAACAATATTCAGTAATGTAATTATTGAACCCCAGAAGGGCAGAGTGTTTAGGTTAAGTTGGGCTGCTGTGCTACAATATCTTCTTTTTTTTATTTAATTATTTTACTACATTCGTAGCACTGTACAAATCAATGTTACCTTTCTCTGTAATGCTATCCATGTAGATCTAGTTCCATTTCTAGGTTTGTAAATGTTTATGTATGGAAACTATTGGACATAAGCATTGGTCTACAAAACCTATATCAGTGCACCCCTAAAATAATTACTTGACTGTATGGACATAACTTTGTTTTGAAAAGTGCTGGACACAAAGATGAGGGTTGAGCAAAACTACATACAAAACTATTGTGATCAATAGCAAACAGGTTCTCAATTACATCCTCTCTTTGTTTTCTTTTCTAATGCTCGACTACAGTGCAAATGAGGGTCAGCCTCAGTGTACTCTGAAATAAAGGTTGGTTGATTGATTGACTGATAATTCATGTATATTTTCATTATGTGTCAATATAATGGCGAGGAATCAACAAAGACACTTTTGCACAGTCGTTGTCATGTTTTTAACGAGCTCTTTGCGAGAATTTTGCTAAGAGATATTATATAAAGGAATTTCAACAGACTACACTGACAAGAGGTGGTGGGGACAACATAAACATAATTTCCCCAACATATATTACACCTGTGCTTGGTTGTTTTTCAGCCTAATGTGTATCTGCTGCATCTATAGCATTGGATCAGTCTGATCACAGACAATTATTTTGATGTATTACCCCGTACTTAGTTTAAAAAAAAAAAAAAGCACAGAAAACCCATTGACTCAACCCAGTAACATATTTACAATAGAATGTAAACGCATTGACTCATGACAGAGAATTTATTGTCCATGGTAATCAACCATTCTTCAGAGACTGCGAATAGAGATTAGGTTGAAAACACTGGAGAATTCCATTAATGGCTTGACCTTTTCTATAATTTTCATCATTTGAAGATTTCTGAATTGGGGTGTTTTGATGTTCTGGTAACAGTTCTTTCTTGATGTGTGTTGTTTCTTTTGTTTTTTTTTCTTTTCTGTTCAGACTATGGTCTTGTGACCACACCTCAGCTGCATTATATGGTCCGCTGTCGCAACACCCACGGTTGCTATGGTACTGACACATTACAAGGCTACTGTCAGAAACTCTCCCGGGCTTTCATTGAACTCAGTAAGAATGTACGAACTAAGCCCCTCACTACCTTTGCACTCTGGTTCAGAACTACACAACTGTATGCTAATTTAGGTTGCCTGTCAGGCATAAAGGTGCTGTGCGTAATGCAGTAGAACAATTTTTGTTTGTCTAAAGATCTTTTCAATCTGTTTCAATGTTGTCTTTTCAAAGTGTATGTTTTAACAAAAAATGTATGTGTATTTGTTTTAATGAATGTAAAACTCTGATTCGGTATGAAAAGACTTTGGCTTTGTTGCTGGTCCAGTTGTTCATGAATGGAAATTGTCATAGATATACTGAATATGTAACTGTATAATACCCATGGTGTAAAAATAATGAAAATATTGATATTTAATTGCTGATTTTGTCCCAATTTATTGATTTTTAAAAATTGCTTATCATTTCTGCCTCCCATGAACTCACACTACAGAGTCTGTCAGTTTCTTCCACCAGGTCTGAACACAAGTACCTAGATTCAGACCTTTTTGCACTCAATCACACTCATTTCTGAATTATTGCAACATTTCTCTTCTAAACCTCTTCACCTCTGTGTTTTGTTCACTTAAAAAGCAATTAATTCTCCTTAGTGTCTACACTTGTATTAATTTATTTAACTGGAAAAAATATGGCTTTTGTATCTTAGGTTATAGTGTCTTGTAGTATCTCCATGTGCTTTGCAACGCTTTGGCTTCCACTGTTTGTATGTTTCGTAAGAATGTAAATGTGGGGGACACTGAACAAGCAAGAAATAGGAAAATGAGCCAAAAAACTTAGTAACAACGCGTGCTCTCTTGTCTCCCAGGCCCGGAATCACACTGACGATCAGAAGCGGCTGCTGGTTGACGGGGCCAATGGAATTGGCGCACTGAAGGTGAGAGAACTGGAGGCATATCTCCAGTCTGAACTGCAGGTGGTGCTCTTTAATGATGGCAGCAACGGCAAACTGAACTACCTGTGTGGAGCCGACTACGTAAAAGTACAGCAGAAACCTCCACAAGGTCAGTTGGAGTATTCAACTTGGTGTCACAGCATTGTTTGACTTTATGGCATTGCTTTTGATCAGGACAGATCTGTTAACGTGCTGAAACTCCTATTCATTGGGATTAGCAACCAGTGCTGGGTGTTCTGAAATCATCTTAGCCCAAAGATGATTCTTAAATGGCAGAGTGAGCATTACGCTAAACACTCTCTCTACCAGTTAACACTCTTAGTTCCATTATAAAGTCTTAACACACTTGTCACACTTGGGCAGCGAAAATGACTGTACCTGCATATCTCTATCTCTCTCTCTCTCTCTCTCTCTCTCTCTCTCTCTCTCTCTCTCTCTCTCTCTCTCTGGAGGAATGAGTATGGGGGCAGGTGAGCGTTGCTGCTCATTTGATGGTGATGCTGATCGTATTGTTTACTATTACAACGACCCAGATGGATGCTTCCATCTATTGGACGGAGACAAAATTGCTACTCTCATTAGCACATATCTCAAAGAGCTTCTGACTCAGGTAGAAATCATTACACATCTTTAGTTAACCTCACTAATGTACACATGAATCCTCACGTGTATCTAACATGGTAAAAGTATAGTGTATTGGACAGTTATTGTATGAGTAAGCAGTCTTAAAACATATAAAGTCCATAAAATAGCATTGTTAATAGTATAGGATGCTCTGGTGCAGCTGCGTATGAACCTATGGTCACCATGCCCAGTGCCAAGTGCCATCTAGAGGGGGTATAAAGCCTCCCCAGCATTGGGCTGTGGAGCAGTGGGACTGCACTCTCTGGAGTGATGGAGCTCCATCCCGTAGCTTTGGGATGAGTTTAAGTGGCATTTGTAATCCAGAACTAATGATCCAACATCGGTACCTGACCTCACTAATAGTTTTTTGACTGAAAGCAGTCAAATCATCATCATCATCATCATTAACCGCTTAGTCCAGATAGGGTCGCGGTAGCAGTTGGGAGAGCAGAGAATCCCAGATGACCCTGTCCCCCACAACTTCGTCCAGCTCATCCCCAGGGACCCCAAGCTGCTCCCAGGCCAGCTTGGAGATATAATCCCTCCAGTGGGTCCTAGGATGACCCCGGGATCTTGTTCCAGTAGGCCGTGCCTGGTACACCCCCACCGGGAGGCGCCCAGGGGTCATCCAGATCAGATGCCCGAACCACCTCAACTGGCTCCTGTGTAGCCCGCCACCCTGCGAAGAAAGCTCATTTCCGCCATTTGTATTCACAGTCTCATTCTTTCGGTCATTACCCATAGCTCATGACCATAGGTGAGGGTCGGGATGTAGACTTGTGTGGTGGGGATCTTCAGAGCTAAGTCGTCGGGAGCAATATGCTCCTTGTAGGGTCTCTCAAGGGGAACAGGTCTGAAGTGAAGACCCAGACTAACTCGTGCCAAAAATCCTCCATGACAAAAGGCCACAGAAAACCATGTACCCTGCCCGGGAGAGGGTTACCGGGACCTACCCCTGGAGCCAGGCCTGGGGGTCGTGTTCCTCGGCAATCGCCTGGTGGCCGGGCAGCCCACGTAACCCGGCCTGGGCCCACCACCTGCAAGGTCCAGCATGGGGGTCCGGTGCAGTGCCATATAGGCAGTGGGAGATGGCGGGGAGGCCCTTGGCGGCATAGACCCCTGCAGCAGAAACTGGCAGTCAAATCCTCACAGCAATATTCCAACATCTAGTGTAAAGCCTTTTCAGAAGAGTTGTGTTACCCGTGATTTCAGAAGAAACTGTATGAGCAAGGGTGTACAGACTGTTGGGTTTATAGTGTATAGATGCTTCTAACATGCAGTTGCAACAGTTCTTGACTGGAATACATAGGAATTAAGTATGTATATATGTGTGTTTATGTACAGGCAGGGCTTAACCTACAGATTGCTGTTGTACAAACAGCATATGCTAATGGAAGCTCCACACGATACTTGGAAGACATAATGAAGGTAAATAATTTCTGATACACCATTTTATTATTATTATATTATTATAACTGCTTTTAAACAATTGAAATAATGCTTGTAACGTTTAGGTCACAGTGTGCTGCACGAAGACAGGAGTGAAGCATCTTCACCACGCAGCTCAGAATTTTGATATCGGAGTTTACTTTGAAGCCAACGGTCATGGAACGGTATTACTGCTATCAGAGTTTATTCAATTGGAAGCAAAACAGTACTCATGAAGCTTCTTAGAGAAGGAGTGCAGATCTAGGATTTGTTCCTGTCTGTATGGTCATAGTGAATAAAATTCTAGATCTGCACTTCAACTCTGAGAAGCTTTGTTAATATGGGCCCTGAGCTGTACACTTTGCACTTGGCTATTAATGCCTTTCAGATTTCACACTAGTTTTATTTGTTGGTAACATTGTGTGTATACCAAGTGATTTTATAGCATGGTTTCAAAGGGCATGTTTAGAGTTTGTGAGCACCTGGACCACACCTTTCTTGGGGTCCACATTTGATGAATTGCTGAACAAAAATGTCAGCCAACATGTGTCCAAACAGTCCTTTCCACAACATCTGAATGCTTTGGAAAACTCATTTGTGTAAGAGCACATTCAACCTAACTGAACTGTTCAGAAAGCCTTACAAATAACTAAAAATCACGCTTTAAACTGGCTCTTTTCTGGTCAATTTAAGGCTCTGTTCAGTGAAAAAGCAGAGAAGGAGATCCAGCAGCTAGTCAAAGACCCAAATGTGAGTGATGAAAAGAAGCATGCAGCAAAGCTTCTGGAGAACACCGTCAACCTCATCAACCAGGTACAACAACCAGAACCATTATATTCCCTGCATTTCCAATTAGCTCACTCAGCTGTCATATATGAAACACTGTTTCTTTCATGTCTCTTGTATCTATTGTTTCTTGTGTTCTGTCTTCTCTGGCCTCCTTTTTCTTTGTTGACTCGATGTCTTTCTCTCTCCTGCTGTAGGCTACTGGTGATGCTATTTCAGATATGCTGGTTATTGAAGCTGTGTTGGCCATCAGAGGGATGACTGTTCAGGAGTGGGACAGCATTTACACAGATCTGCCAAACCGGCAGCTCAAAGTCAAGGTGTGTGTCCTTGCCACTCTATATTTGAGTGTTTATGCAACTTGGAATCAGTTTTTTTTTAACAATAAGACCATTTTTTTTGCAGATTAATTATTCTAATATACTGATACTACTTTACATCTTAGGCTTCAAATCATGTAGAATACTCTGCAATGACAGAGAAAACCATTTAACATTGAGAATGAAGTTGTAATAAAATTCATATCTAGAATGCTTGTTGGAAAATCAAATCTTAAGGCAGATAACAAGAAATGACTATGAATACTCTGTTTCAGTATATTGTTTATCATTTACTAACTTGAAATGTAAAAATCTGTAAAATATCTAATGGTGTCCAGTTTTATAATACTTCAGTTTACACTGGCTAAGTTATTATTATTTAAAAATAACATTTTTAATACAAGTTATTCTAAAATTTTCTTTCCATCTCAAATGCTTATGGCTGTATTATTGTTTCATACCGCTGCAACAACATCCTCAGAAGAGACGTCCGTCACCAAGTTTTGACTTGTTCTCTTTGAATATTTGCAAATGTAAGCTCTCACAAACAGATTCATCTGCTCAGAGAAGGGTTCCAAAGCTCAACCCATGTTATAAAATGTTCTTCTGCATGTTGCATGCAATTACACATTTCTACCAGAGTGGTATTTCTAACATAGTGCAGTGTTTCTCAGCCCTGGTCCAGGAGGCCTAGTGCCCTGCTCGTTTTAGTGTTTTCCCTGCTCCTAACACACCTTATCCAACTAATCAGCTCATTAAAAGCCCCTTATTGAGTTATAGTGAGTGTTAAAGCAGGAAAAGCAATAAAATGTACAGTATCAGCTGATCCAATATTTTTTCCTTTGAAAACTGCTAATCTTTAAAAATAGCTGTTTTTGTTTTTATTTATTTTTGCTTAAGCATATCATGCTCAGACTACTCAAACACTGCCACAAAAATCACATCACGAAATGTGTGATAGTTCAGGATAGATTTGTTACAGGACTGAATCAGATTCAGACTTTTTTTACTCTGATATCCCTTCCAGCACTTTCTGATGATATCAGCCCGGTACCAATACTCATCAATGCTAGTATACCATCTCTGATTAAAAGGTCCTTTAGAAAAACAAAAGTGGCACCTTTATTTCTAAGATTGCAGTGTGAGCCCCTACATTACTACAAAATGTGCTTTAAGTTCCCTGACTCATGTGTGTGTTATGGTCATGTTTTGCCACTGTAGGTGGCAGACAGACGTGTGATAGACACAACAGATGCAGAGCGTCGTGCAGTAACGCCAGCAGGACTACAAGATTCCATAGATGCTCTGGTTAAAAAGTACACGACAGCTCGAGCCTTTGTCAGACCCTCAGGCACCGAGGACGTGGTCAGAGTGTACGCTGAAGCTGAAACACAGGTACATCCTTACATACAGACTCTCTCTGTCTGTGTTTCCCATGAAAATGACCTCCTCTGCTCTTTATTATTGCAACCTGCAGTATGATCTTTGCTCCATGTTGTATCAGAAATGCTCAGCTACATTTGGTAACATGAAACATATCTGTGTGCGCAGGAGAGTGCAGATGCCTTGGCACATGAAGTAAGTCTGGCCGTATACCGCCTGGCTGGAGGAGTTGGAGAGGAGCCAAAGCCCTTAAAGTGACCACGCAAACACTCTCCTATACCTTGCACTTCAGACAATGATATACATATATACATACATAGGCACACATGCCTTTAAAAGGGAGAACCCAGTGATTTTTTTAAATCAACACTCTCCTGTGAATATTAATATAGAATTTATGTTTATGATCGAGGTACTTCATCAGCATGAATGTACCAGATATTTTATGGTGGGTATAATGAGCTTTGTTTACAATCAAAGGCCTTAAAGAAGATTATGCAGGTGTTGCTACATATCTTCTGTTGCCCTTTTCTGTAGTTTTCATGGGACACTAACTAGGTTGATTCTGATAATGGAACACTTTGCTCCTGAATGTTTTATGTTATTTGTATTTTTGTCACATGGATCCATTTTTCTCAGCTGTACTTTGAGCATTCCTAAACTGGACAATCTTATTATCTTATCTGCAAAGTTGATGTTGACACTATCACATAAAAACAATCATAGTATGAAGGAAATGGGAATAAAACAACCTCATCTAAAACAACTCTAAAGTTCATTTTTAGTCTGTTTGTTGTTTGTCAAAAGGTAACAGCTGAACCCAAGTTATTGCACACTGGTTTAAATAAATCAAAATTTGCGATCAGTGTTATCAGTAGTATAAACGTAATGTGGTTGCAGATAAGACAAGAAGAAAGTGATTCTGATAAATAATTAAGACACAAGGAAGCTGTAAATTAAAATGAAGGAGTGCTTTGGGGACTTGTTCCTTAAAGCGTCCTGCATGTACTTCTCCACCATGAATTCCTTTTAAAAATTACGTTTTTGGCCAAAGCTTTATCTCAAAACTATAAAACAGTGTCTGGGGCATGAGGCAGTGTATTTGTTATTATTTCATCTAATAACTTTCTGTGAGGTCGCTTCTAGAGGCTCTTCAGATGTCTGGTTCCTATCCCGCCCACTGCGAACAATTCTGACTTTTAAGTTTCTCTAGAACGGAGGATTGCACATCAAACCACTCTGAATTGCAGATACACAGCATTCTTTCTGACAGCGAATTTAACCAAGGCTACTCAATGCTTTGCACTCAGGTTTATTTCTTGTATGTATCTTAACAGGTCCAGAGGACACAGTGGAGGTTAAAGGTTTGAATACAGTTAGCAGTTTTAGTCGTAACAGAATTGCACCAGCAGAGGAGGTAGATAGCAAAACGTAAGGCTTGTGCTACAATTTCTAGTCAGGATAAAGTTAAAGCTTACGATTTTGTATGTGACATGAACCTTGTTCATGCTATCTCTAGTAGAGTCCATTCTCTTCTCCACTCACCGATGAGAAAAAGAATCTTATTGCTCCAAGCTGAACCTTCCGAGGTGTAACGGAATCATTTAAAACTATATAATGTAGAATATTTTTTGCAAGAATATAACTAATTAAAAACTATGCCATGTTCTAGTTTCCTTTCTTTCAAGCCTGCTAGTGGAGTGAAGGAAGAAAGTGGATTCTGGTAGAGATACGGATTTAAGGTTAAGCAGTTTCCGTGAGTCTACTCCTCCGTCTCATCTGCTGCTCCAGAGATGGTGATGGTGCGTTCCTGTGTGTCACTCTGAACAGTGTTCTCCTCTGTTTTAACTGTTCTAAACCAAAAGAAAGATGGCATTAGTCGCAATTATTAAGAAAGCCTATTACAGAAATACCCTTATAAAAACAAGAAACAGAGAATATTTAAACACCACTTTAACAGAGAGAAGGGAAAAAAAACAAACAAGGGGAAAAACACCCTACACAGCTTACCAAGCTCAAACGTTCTCTACATGTCTAGAAAATTACGTTCTGATAATGCAGTGTAACAGTATGGTTTAGTTTAATTGATTCAGTCCATCCTTCATGAATGCTCTGCACATTATAGCAGATATATTTACATCAATGTATTCCATAAAAAGGCTTCCATATTTTGTAAAAGGCATCTATTCTCTAATGCAACAGGCAGGGATATATTCCAGAATCAATCTATGCCATCCTAAAATTGAAGGGACCCTGTCAGTAATCCAGTAGTGGAGTATATTTCTCTTGCCGCAAAGTGTTAAAATATTATAAAGCTTTCTCCTATGTACAACCACAATATATTTATTAGGGAGACCCAGGACAAGAAAGAGTGGATCAAGTTTCAGTTTCTCCTCTGTATTTGCTCTATTTCCTGTAAAACCTCTCTCCACTGTCTCTACAGTTTGGGACATAACCAGAGATAGTGAATGAGGCTACCTGTGTCTGTTTTGCCTCTAGGACATAAAGGGGATGTGCCAGATTTGAATTTGGAGAGGGGATATGTGTACTCTATGAAAATCTTAAATTGTAAAGCTCTTGCCAAATTACATATTGTCATTTTCTTTGCAATATTCCAAATGTTTTTCCATATCTCTTATGTGATTTCTAGCCCCACGTCCCTCTCCCATGTCAGTCTCAGATGTTCAGTGCTGGTCAACACAATACCCCATGCAAGAAACGCTTGTTTTTCAGTAAGTGAGGCAGTACAGTCAGTGAGTAATGTAGTTTTTTTCCTTATTAAGTCTTGTACTTGAAAATACCGGAAAAGGTCTTTTGGATATTGGATCATATTTTTCCCCTACTTGATTAAAGGCAGGATTTTCAAACAAATCACAAAAAGAAGACCCTTAGAGACCCAGTATTAAAATCCAAAATCCATAACACCTGGCAGGAAATCGGGATTATCAGCGAGTGAAAACAGAAGTTTGTCTAGTTCTCTGTTCAGTGCTTCACACTGTTCTATTATCTTTAACTGTATTGACTGTTACTGTGTTATTACAGTATTCCTTAACAACATGTTCCAATATACTTTTACTTGAGAACAAACTTCCTAATAACGTCTTCCAACAGCCTTCATTGGTATGGCAGATTTAAAATGATGGTTTAGTGAAAATCTTGTTTTGTTTTCTTACCCAAAATCTAGTCCAGCCAAGACAGGGTTGGTGTCCAAAATTTTCTTCTTTAGTTTTGCACTTGAAATATGAGTAGCTAACAAGTATTATTCCTCACAATTAGCTGTGCAAACTGCAAATTGCAATTTATTTGGCCAAACTATCATTTTAATGGTCTGTCCTTTCATGAAAGGTGCATTACTTGAGTTATTGCAGCCAAACTTTTACCTAATAAGGACAGTCTTCCTCTCCGTCACCTCCACGGCCTGCTCATGGGTGAACTCCTCCATTGTCCCCTGGCGGCCAGTTGAGGAAGATGTTACTTTTGACAAAGCTGTGGCTGTTCCACTGACTGCCCCGCCGGCTGACCCACTGGCCACCCCACCCAGAGCTCCACTGAGACCAACTCCTGAGGCACTGACAAGTCCAGCGCTGATAGATGTGCTGCTGCTCATCAGAGACAAGCCACGCACCATGGCCGTCAGCCGGCTATCCTCACCCTCAATCAGCTTCCTGAAGACCAGTGAAAAGATGAAAGCCTATTAACTGTCTTTTTTTGGTCTTATTGATCATATTGATCACTTAAACATCACTTTTTACTAGAAGTAGCCATTCCCTTGAAAGTGGTTATGAGTTCCAAAAAAGATAAACCACATGTAAAGATCTAGCAAGAAACCACCTTCATGGAGTCTGCAAAGTTCTGAGCCACAATTCAGGCACTATACATTAGAGCGGCGTGACACAGGCGTATACAAAAGTATGAACACTCGAACAAATTACACGTTTTCTTGATTTATTAAGTAAGAATACATCCTCTACAGGGAACAGACATAAATGTGGCATTTTTCTACAACTTTGTGAGTCTAATTATGCTAAGTGTAAAATCTTGGAAACAAATAAAACAAATTATGAAATGCACAATTTTTACAAACCATATTTTATGTTTTATTTTTTTTATTTTTTAATTTGTTGAATTAATCAAACATACAGTAATTGTGCAGAGGTGTGTTCCCCATATGAGTATGTATAGAGTATGTGTATGTTAATTTCACTAGAAAATCAACAAAATGTCATTTAACCAGCGACACCCAGACTTTTGCATACGACTGAATATCATATATAACATGATATTGATTTTCTGCCATATATATTTGACAGATAATCCATGATCTAATAGTCATGACATAGCAGTGCCCCTGCTGACAAGATGTTTGTTGTTTATTGTTGTTTTATTCTATTTTGTGCACTTGTTATACCAAAGACTTGACAGTATGCAATTCTTTATTATTTACTGTGTTTTGAAAGAACAGTTTAAAATTAACAAAAGTTAAATAAATAGTAAGTAGTAATAGATTCTTTCCTATAAATGTGTTTTCTGTCTGGCTAATGTTTACAGTACTGATTTAATACTATGATATGTTCAGAAAGTATTGTGATATTGAATTTTATCAATAGCATCTAACTCTACTATGAACCATATTCTTACATTATATGTTATATATCACTATATAGTGCTTAGATGTTTGTACTATACTATTGTCTGAAATCCAACATGAATGTTTTGCACTAAACGGAAACTTCTGTATCGCATCATTGAATATTGGCAGTTTAACAATAACAAAATTCCATTCTCATAAACAGTAGTGGCAGTCTTGCATGGTGTGTCTGCTGATTCGATCATTTCTAACTGTAGTGGCCTCTGTTTTCAGCTCTTTGGAAAAGTCTGATAGCCTGTGACTGCTATGTAATACTTATTTTTGGTGATATTAACAGCATACTATATTCCCTGTCATCTCCGAGTGTGAACACTACCTGTATGTGGTGATTTCAATCTCAAGAGCCATCTTCACATTGAGCAGGTCCTGGTACTCTCTCAGCAGCAGAGCTATCTTCTCTTTCACTATCTTCATGTCCAGCTTCAGAGCCTCCATGCGGGCCTGCAAAATGTACTGCGATAAGACTTTACAAACATTTATTAAAGGGCCCATGTCACTTTTGTTTTCATCACTTTTTTGAAATGAAAGAGTATGATGTAGTGTGTAAACATTGTTAATGTTTAAAAATGTACCATTCACTACCCAGTCCATATAAACTAAGCTGCCCATTGTGAATTTGTTGTTTAACATATATATTCAGCCTACAGCGGTTTAGCCTTGATCATTCACGTTGAAGTTAAAAGGAGTGTTCCATCCTGGACTGCTTTTTGAACAAGGCACAATAGAGGGCAGCCAATCATTAGAGGCACAGTAACCAAAACAGCCTGTTTAATTCTAAGGGATTAAGAGAGATTGGAAATGGTCATATTAAAATGCTTTATTTCTTTTCTATTTGCTTTATTTCTTTTCTATTTCTTGTAAAACCTTACAAATGTTAGAAGTGGACATTGGGGGACAAATGCAAGAATAATAGGATATAGAACCTTTAATTATGTTTCTGAAGAGCTTTGGTTTAGTTGCAAAAAAGGCCACATATGAATGTATTGATGTTGGCCATTATAGTTTTTTTCACAAATCACCACCATGCTTTGATTTGTAAGTGACAGACAAACCTTTACATGTAGTAAAAATCTATTTCCATGTGATCAGTTTTAACATGTCTGTACTCTCTCACCTGT